AATATATGGCAGGCGCACACAGTTCGGGTGTCTCCTTTGGAGGAGGCAGCGCCCTCAGCAACGACACAGAGCATCACGTCGGTTGAGAGGAAAGCGAAGCACAGGATACACGCGGATGCAAAAGGAGACAAAAATGAGACAAAATGGGGCAAAAGGGGGGCGGAACGCGACGAAACAGCGAAGTTTGAGCCGTTTTTCTTCCTTCGTTTTTCTGTCATTGTTCTGCAGATTGCATGGAGGCCCTCCCAGAGATCCTCTTTGCTCAACTGTCACAGCAGGCGTGCCCTCTCCTAGCCAGGTACACAGCAGCAGCAGCACAAGAGCCGCAATAGCAGGATGCGTAGGCAGCGAAGCCCCCGAGGCACGATTAGGTGGCTGTCACCATCGTGTGTTTGCAGGTGTTTGCAGACCGCAAGTCATTGCTACATTTTTTGTCTCTCTGTGCTGGCTGATTACTTGGTCTTTGGATTTTGTTTTTGTTATTTTCATAATTCGAACCTAGCAGAAGAGTGTGTCCCTGTTGCATGCGGTCGCGATACACGTGAAGGGAGGCAGCCAGAGCTGGAGCCTGCAGCGCGAAGCTGCTGGGTGTGGGCAGCAGGATATGCTTGGTGTATCCTCTGTCTCCGTTTTGCATGTCACCTTCCTGTTGTCTGCAGATTGGGTTTGGGGCTACTGGAAGTTGCTGCTGGTCCAGCTGCGGAGGCCCCTGTAGCAGCAGAAGCACTTGCATTGCTGCTGCGGGCGTGGAGTTCGTGGGCCTCGCGTCTGCTGCACGCTGCAGACAACCAACTGCCGTCTCCGCAACAGCAGCAGCCACAGCAACAGCAACAACAACAACTACTGCAGCAAACGCGACTTGCCGATGCCCCATGGTGGCGCACTTTCAGGGACGCGTCTGCTCTGCTAGTCGAGGCCTTTGTACACAAGTAAACCTTAAACCCTTACACCGCAGGGCCAAAGGGTCTCTAAACGAATTAAACTCGTATGCATGCATACTTCCCAGCATGCTTCTCATGAAACACATAATATTATATATATAACTGCCTATTTATATAAATTTGCATATATTATATATATGGCTGCCGGGTTGCTTTGCCTCATGTGTTCTAACCCCCTTGTCCATTGCCGCTTATTAGAGCTGTATTTAAACAGAGGTAGTTTTGGGGCTTTGATTCAGGGGCTTGAGCGCCTGCAGCCAGCGGGAAGATGAGGGGGAGGCAGGAGACGAGAGGAAGCGCAAGGGGATTATATTTAGCTTGCATGGAGGCTCTCAGCTTCATGAGTTTCTAAAGTCGATGTCGCAAATCTCCTTTGCAGTCCCTGCAAGGGCCTTGGCTGCAGCAGCAGCGAAGCAGCAGCAGCTGCAACTGCTGCTGCAGCAAGCCAGGGAAACCACCCTGGCAGCAGCAACGCCCCCCGGAGGCAACATGCAGCACATGAGGGCGCAGCTGGCCACGCTGCAGCTGCTGCAGCAGCAGCAACACTGGCTTCTGCTGTACATACAGCTCCTTATTGCAACCCACCTCGGCCCCGAGGCCCTGGCAAACCACCGCCTTGGACCCCCTAAACAGGTGTTACAAGATGAAGAGGCGCAAACTGAAGTGAGCTCCTCTCTCCCTTTTTCCCTACTCCTGTCTCTTCTCGTCTCTTTTTTCGTTTCCTCTGTCTCCTGTCCCATTAGCGCTGATCGCATCTACGCCAGCGTTGCCGGTTTTCTTGCCAACCAGAGTTCTCTCTATGAGGGTTTTTTTGGCTGCCTTTACCTTGCTAGCTTATCACGTTGAATAGCATGAATCCAATGCAACCTCACTAAGGGCTGGAGTGTATGCGCAGCTCCTGCGTCTGCTTGCGGCGGTATTCTCGATGCTGGAAGCTGAGACAGTTGCTCTGAAGGCAGGGGCGGCAGCAGCTGCTGCTGCGGCGGCGGCGACAGACCAGGAGAAGCACCAACAGCAGCAGCAGCTGTTGCTGCTGCAGGCGCAACAGCAACTACCTTCACCTGTAGTACTGGAGGTAGGCCTAGGGGTTGTCTCCCTTGTAGCGAAGGCCTATCTCTTCAGAGAGAGACTCGCGAAGCCACGGCTTGATGACCTGCTGCTTCCAGGTTGGTTTGGCACCCTTTAAACCCTACAGCCTCAAGGAAATACCCTAGAAGGTGTCCTGTTTCTCATATCCATTGATGGGCTTCGCGTGCATGCACGCATGCGCCTGCAGCCCCGTGGCAAGTATCAGCAGCCGCCTTTGGATGCACGCAGGCGCCTATCCGTAGTAGAGCCGTGCACATAGCGTAGTGCTGTTCACGAAGCTATATAGGGCAGCGTTTGGGGTTTTGTTCTGTGTTTATGCATGCGCAGAAGGCGGCCTCAAGGTGCTAAATGCAGGTGTCTCTTTAGCTGCGGATTGTCTCCTGGCCGCCCCGCAGCACCCCGCCCTCAGCATCGCATGCGCCCGCACTCTCCGTGTGTACGTGCACCTGCATGCTGCTGCGTGCATGCATGCATGCATAGGCATACAGTGTAGAAGCTGCCTCAGACAAGCTGCTGCGGTGCAGCCGCGAAGGCGGTGCAGGTTCTTCTAGAATCCGTGGGGTTGTGTGCGCCTGCATAAATACTGCATTCGCTGTATATTTAACATAAATATTGGCATAGAAATGTGCACACACGTGCATTTAAGTGCATATATAGGTGTGCGAATAAATATACTTTTATACAAATATAGGCGCCTACTGTATAGGGATGGAAACACGGCGGATTGCATGCATCTTTGGAGGTGCACAGACACGAGGCGGTGGGGACTGCTCGTACACCGCGCGCGGCATTAAGACCACCAAGCAAGCTTTCCAGACCCACTTCATGGTTTGTATTGGGGCTGCTATGCTGTGTTTGTACAGCTTTGCGGACACTCGCAATCCCTGCTGCGCCTACTTGTGGGAATGCGGAGCATTTCAGACCCTTCTGGACACTTGCTGCAGCTGCTGTGCAGGACTGCTACAGCCAACTGCAGCAGCAGCTGTCGCCTCTAGCAACCCAGCATCTGTTAACAGCACCAGCACCAGCAGCTTAGCCCTGCGGCAGCTATCTAGTCAGAGCTGCTCCAGTGTCTTTGCAGCTTTTGCTGCTGCTGCTGCTCCCTCAGAGCAGTTGTGGGGCCTCGCGAAGAAGCACATGGCCCAGCAACAGCAGATGCAGCAGGAGCAACAGCAGGAACAGCAGCAGTTTCTGCGGAGCGGGACCATGCTCAGCAATGAGGTCGCAACTGCACGCACAGCTGCCTTGCTGCAGCGATGCAGCGTGGGCCTTGGGGTGCTGCAGGCTGCCGCAGCTATAGTAGCAGAGGCGAAGCAGCCGCTCCCGATTGCAGCGGTGAGGCCGGCGCAGCATGACCTGCCTGTACACCTTAGCTGTATGTTAGGGGTTTCCCTCTTTCTTCCTGCAACATTGCCTTAGCTGCTGCTCCGAGAACTAACCAGTTAGACAACCAACAGGAGAGACGGTTACGGCAGCTAGCAGAGGCAGCTCAGGCGTCCAGGCAGTCCCTCCCAGCGTTGCCGCTGCGAAAGTCTGCTTTTGGTTACCTGCTGAGTTTATTCATGTTGTTCCCGCACCATCATCCTTCACAGGGTTTAGTGTTTCGGGTGTAGCGGTCTCCCTTCCCTGTGTTGCACGCTTTTGGGATTGAGGGCTTCTTTCATTTTCCTCCTCTGCTAAAGTGTACGCAAGGGTTTGGGATTTTGATACACACGAATGCGCATCTTGAATGCTGGTGCCTGTAGATTGTCGCCTTGGCCGTTGCTGCTGGTGCCGCAGGTTCGCTGGGTGTTGAGCATGCTTGGAGGTTTAGCCTCAGGCGCTGGGAAGGAGGGGGCGCGACGGCTCCTCCAATGGCTTGGGCCTTCTCTTCGCTGCGCATTTGCTGTGACGCGAGCTGCAGCAGGCAACCCACAGGCATTGCTTGAGTAAGATTTCTTTGTTTTGTTTGTTTGGTTGTATGTTTATTGCTTGTGCTTGTCTGTGTTCCTTGCTTGTGCTTCTTCTTTGTTTTGTTTGTTTGCTGTGGCTCCTTTCTTGTGATTTCTTGGATTCTCTGCGTCTTCTGTATGCATCTGTTACATGCTTTGGATACAGTGCCTTTTTAGTAGCAGTACCTGAGAGCAGGTTCGAGTTGCGCTCACCAAAAGTGCCAAGACGTGCCTCTCTAGCTGTCTCTTGCGATACTGTTGTTGTTGCTGTTCTGCTGCAGTGGACTGAAGTTTTCCCGTCGCATTGCTGCTGCTGGAGCGTCATGCCTCACAAAAGAAGAAGCGCAGGCACTGATGCAGGAGTACACAACTGTGCTAGCTGCCTTTGCAGTGAGCAACCCCTCGAAACCCTAAGGACTAAGGGAGGCAGCAACTCACACTAGAAGACCGCATGCCTTCCCAAGCTGCTGCAGCGCCTTCTGCGGTGTTTGTGTTTTCTTTCTCTTGAGAGAAGGCATACTGCGCTCGCCGTTTAGGGTTGAGGGCTTGTGTCTTCAGGCGACGCTGGACCGTCAAATGAGCCCGGAGGAGGAAGACGCTGCGATAACAAACGGCATGCAGATATTTAAGTATGTCGTTTACGTCATTGTTATTTGTCTCCAGATGTTGGTTGTTTGTTTATTGTGCGTTTATAATGCGCTTTGCTCAATTTGACTGTATACCTCTGCACCTCCTTGTTTCTTGCTTATGCCTGGTCTCCTTTTTATCGGAATACGCACCGCTGATGGAACCAAGGGGAGCCGGACCTGGAGGCCGTTAGTTTGGTGCCATTCTGACAGTGCGCATTGCTGCCTCACTGTCTCCTGTTTATGCTGCTGTCTTCCTTTTTCTTGTCGCTGTCACACCTCGCGAGTCGCCGTTGATGTATTGGTTGTTCGCCTTTTTGTCTCCTTGGTCTTCGTTTGTCTTAGGCTGTTGCGACAATTGGCTGGGGAAAACAGGGGAGAGGCCCGCAACGAATGGTAGGCGCTGCAGCAACAAGCGAACACCGGGTGTACATACCCCAAATGTGATCTGGAGGCGGTTTTTGCCGCGTGCACGCATTGCTCGGTGCATGCGGTCGTACCATGCGGAACTGAAGATGGCTCTTCTGCACATTTTGCGTTGTAGTTGCAGCTGCACCTCCGTCGTTTCATTTTGAGTCAAGCGATTAAAGTTTCTCTTGTTTGCATGGACAGGATGGGAGCTGCTCTTATCGACTGCCTCCGGGCCCTTCGCCCCCTCTGCATGGCGTTGACCCCTACTCAGCCCAAGTATGTGCATGCATGCATCCATCCGTGCATACATGCGCCTCATGCCCCAAAATCCTGCTCAGCCATCAGCTTGAAGCACTATGCGCCAAGGCGTTGATGCATCGCAAGCCCCAAAGTGGCGATGCGTCCCTTCGGATAGCTGTTTGCATGCAGAGCCACCAGGCGCGTGCTTATGTTTCCTCTGGATATTCGGCAATCTGCATGGAGTGTGCATGCAATATTCACGCAATTTGCGTACAGCGTGCAAGTATGCATGCGTTCCGTGGGACTGCTCGTCAGTTTGTGGAGTTTCTTTGGCTTTCACTCTGTCTCTGTAACGGTGTGTCCGTGCTCCCAGGTTTGTGTGCATGCGCGAACGAGTGCTTGCCTAATGCCGCGTGCGTGCCTGCAGAGTTCTTGGGGCTTATTTGTCTTTAGTTGGTATCCTGCTGGAAGAGGACGTGGCGCTGTTCCTACAGAGGTTGCCTCCCGAAGACACCCACGTGCTAATGACACTGGTGAGAGTTTAGGGTTTTGTGTCCAAGCTTTAGGATTTATTCCCTCTGCTGTACGCTTAAAAGCCTTTTTCTTCGTTTACTCTAAGGTGGATCGCTTGCCAAGAGCCATGTGGCCCCTGACGTGCATGCAGGAGCAGCGGGGAACCCTTTCTGGGCAAGCACGACTCGCTAATGCTGCGTTAGAAGGCGTCCATGTGCTTGCAATGCACGCAGCAGACGTGCAGCTGCAGCAGGGGCTCTACAACCCCAACTTAGAAAGTTCCGAAGGGGCAGAGGCTCTATTTGTAGCAACGCCGCAGGCGGACTCCTTGCAGCAGGTGTACGTACACCTCGCGCAGGTACGCAGGGCGGCCTACTCCATGCGGTAACCGATGCATGCGTAGCAGCAAATATCGCCATGCAGCTCCAGCCAAGGGAAGAGGCATGCAGAAGAAACGATAAGCCGACTTTACTGCTGTTGCTGCTGCGCTGCAGCTTGCCACTGCTTTGCTGCAGAAGCTACCCAACGAGCAAATGACACCAGCGGTAGGCAGCAGCTGCTTCTTCGTACATATATACATATATATGCATTAATTGCCCATACAAATTACATGTGGTTATATATGCACGCATGCGTGCATGCGTGCGTGCATGCATTTGCTTCTGTTGATAGGTGGTGCTTTTTTGTGCGTGTACAGGAGCAAGACGTGCTGGGGGCTTGTTTGTTTTCTGCTCTCTTTTGCATTGGAGTCCGGGCCTTCGCTCTCCGGCATCTTCTGCGTTGTTTTGCCGCCAATTTCGCAGCTGTACGTACACCTGGTGTGGAGGGGAGGCTGTGGGCAGCCTCTCTCTCGTGTCTGCGTACCTGGGAATATTTGAACGTCCCATGCGTGCGATGCATCTGTTATGAGCAACTGCCTCCGTATATGCCTTTCAAACTATATTGGAAGTAGCAGTAGCAATATCCACAGGGAGGATGTTAAGAGTAAGGCTAGGGTGCACTGAAGAGCCAAGAGGATACTTCTGCTGCTGCCGGTGCTGCTGTTGCTGCTGCTGCTGCAGCAAGGTGCAGGCAACTGGACAGGGGGTTGCTCCACACATTCGTTGGAGCAAAGAGTTGAAGAGTTGGAGACAGCCGTCTTAGTGGCCGTGCGGGAGGCCGTGCCTGCCGATGCAACAGCAGCAGCAGCAACAGCAGCACCAGAAGCAGCAGCAGCTAATCAGGTAACCCCCCTACGCTTCAGGCAGCAGCACTTCCACAAAAGAGAAGATGCCTTCAAGCTCGAACTGGCTAATTTCGTGGCGGAGTTCGCGACCTTTGCGCCCTCCAGAGGTCCGGCGCTCTATGGTTTGTTTTGTGGGGTTTAGGCTTAGGGTTTGGCGTAAAGCGGGGGAGGGAGGTTGCGGGGTGTAGGGGTTGTATCTTGAACTTTTTGCATTGCTTCTTTTTAAACATCTCCATATATGTGCAATGTATATTTATATTCGTATATCCAATTTTATATTTATATGTGCATATATTTATCAGAGCCTTCAGGGGCTGTATGCACTTGTGCATACGACTTTGCTCAACGGGCTCCATATTTGCATGAAATGTGCCCATAGACGGACAAGCAATGCACGGGTATGCACTTTGTGCAAGTTTGTTGCATGCATAATGCGTTTTCAGGCTAGCTTTGCCGCCTTGCGTTGCAAGGAAGAATGGAGCTACCTCTCTCCTGTCATCTCTGTTATTTGATTCCTTGTTTGCAGCACTTAGTTGTGCACTTGGTGCTGCAATGCAGGCTCACCAAACTCCGCCCCTAAATCCTAAACCCTAAACCCTTACTTTTGGGTGTTCCCATCGACGTCCCTAGGAGACCCCAGCATCAAGTTTTTTAAAGCTGTGTCTAGTGCCTTGCGCACATGCATACCCTTCTTCTAACTAGATATATTTGCTCACGTAGTTTTCACGCTGCCTGCATATGCCTGGGGCGTGCATGCGCTGCATGCCAGACTCACCTGTTTGTCTGGTTACGTGAAGGGGGGTCTCGCAGACTGTAGACCCAAAGGCCTTAAGCCCCAAGTCGTGACTCCCTTCCGTGCTGCTCGCTGCTTTGTCTCTTCTGGCCTTGCATGCATGCGTATGTGTTTGCTTGTGTTGTCCGTGGGGGCAGTTTGCCGCTGATTTCCCTATTTTAGTGGACTTAAATCTAAGGTTTTGTCTCAAATCGCCTCCCGCGTCTTTACGGGGCCTTTCTATCAGATTCCTCTCTCGGTTTGTCTCCTCTGTCTCTGTTTTGCTTTCTTCCTGTCTCTTTCCTAGACACTCTAGCAGATAGAACACTGCAGCCCACGCGCTGTCACTGGCAGCCTCCAGACTGAAAAAGGCCTACAGTTGTCTATGCTTCTGATTGTCCTCCTGCTTGGCTGTCTCTCCGTAGATGCTGCTGCAGTGCACGCATGCAGGGATGCATGCACGGCAGGTATGGTTTATTGTCTGTTAGAGGCTCAAAAGCCCGAGCTGGGAGATTTATTCATCTTCCATTTGTCAGTGTCTGTATTCTGTTTGTTGCTCCCCAGCAATACGGCGGATCCCTCGCTCCTCTATAGCACCGAGAGCTAAACTAACACTCCGTCTATAAGCTGTCTGCTGAAGGCAAAGAACAATCAGAGGCGGTCTGGCTGTGAGGTTCTTCGTATGCACAAGACATTAAAGACCTTGGTAGCCCACAAGGTCTTGAAGGAGAGAGTTTCTTTCTCCTCAGGATGCGCCGCAGTAGCACTAGACTTGTAGTTTGAAGGAGCTTTATTTATTATGTCCCAGGCTTGCCGTTTTGCTCGCTATCCCTGACACGGAAAGGAAGCAAAGTATCCAGCATTCGAGAAAGAACCCTATGCGGTTTGGTGGTGAGTAAAAAGATCTCACCATTACTTATAATGAAACGCATTTCACCGTCCACGTCGATCTTTAACCCACGGACCTCCTTAAAAAGAGCTGCCAAGACAACGAGAATGGAATAATTCTTCTTTCTTTGGCAGATACGGCATACTTCTCGTTTTGAAATCAATCAACGGCATCATTAACGTTGTCTTGTACATCCAGACGCATTGCCCTGCACAATGACACTTGTTCATGATGATTCCCCTTTCCCTCCACGATTGTTCGCATTATACTCCTAGCTTCTTATGCGACTACATTTGTCACTACGTTCAAAACGGGTGAGGCACAACAACATAGATAGGGATGAACCTTCCATACGCTGCGTCAGTAGACAAACAACGGAAAGCGAGCAGACACACTCAACAACTGCGTATACAGCTACTGTAGACAGTATATACAAGCACTGTAGAGTGGCAAAGCATGTTTGTATTTGTATGAGGTATGTGGAGCTTTCTTGCACACTGTGTTGCAATAACGTGAGCTGCAACAAGTGGCTAGCTGCGACCTCTTTGGGAGCGGCAGACTATTCAGTTGCCAAGCTCAGGACGAGTGCAGACTCAGGAAGGTCCGTTGTATTTAACTAAGTCTTTTGTCAAGTATTTTGGATCAGTTTTACCTCCATAGTTCTTGTGTACAATCATAGACCCGTGTTTCAAGTATATTTAATTCGTTTCTTGGCGGCACTACAAATGCATTTAAGCCCGCAAAAGGCAGGAGAGTGGAGAAACCGCATGTTGCATAGAAACAGCAAACTAAGCCCACCACACACTGTTGTTCTTGCTGTTGCAAACTCCTTCTTGTACCTGAGGCGACTGCAGATTGTTTCATCTTTTGGCTGCAGGCCCAGGCCCTGCGGCAACAGCAGTGACCTGGAGGGATATGGAGCCGGCAGTTGGTCTCTAGTGGTCGTTTAAAGTGTTCTTATTGATATGCAGCTGGAAAACCCTACATTCACTATATCTATCTCAGTCGCTCTAATTATATCTATCTCAGTCGCCCTAACGTCCTCTTCCGCGTCCTGCTCTGTTCGCACCTGCCACTGCCCCATAACTCGGCTTGAATTTCTAAAATTTTATCAGCTCTAAGCCTTTTTGCGTTTCTCTATACAGTGTTAGGTGTCTCTTTTCAGTCCAATTGGCGGCGGTAGCATAGACCTCTATTGCTGCTCCCCTTCGTGTGATGCACATACGAGTTGCAGGGGCCTTCGTACCCCTGTGCGAGGTTGGCTTGTGAAAGCAAATGTAAAAGGAATTCTTCTAACTCTCTCTTAGGTGCAAACAGCAGTCTGCAACGCCTGCAAACAACACGGCTTGACGGGGTTGGCGCCCTGTTCGTCCCTAGCTACCAACTGCCCCTGCCCTATGCTGCAACTTGAGCGTTTATACATCTTAATAGTGCCATTAAAAACCATTAAATTTAGTAAAATACCATTAAGAATACTATTTCCTTTCCGTTTCCTTTGGCGCTCCCTTGCTCCCGCCCCAGCAAGGCGCCTCCCGCTGCTGCGGCTCCGGCGGCTGCTGAGCCCGTCCGGTGAAGGAGCCCTGAGGTGAGCGGCAGCTGTGCCTCCTTTGAATGACTTTGGTCGTTTGTTTCCAGTGTGCAGAGGGGTTAAGGAGAAGAAAAGGAAATCCTGGGAGGAGGGAAAACCCAACAAGCCACGCCGTGCTGCCGACGTAGGAAGGAACACCACCGCTTGTGGGGGCAGTGGCGGTGGCGATGAGTGTGCAGAGTAACCAGCGGCAGTTCCCTCTTGAAGTGTTGCCTCGTACAGTTTACAACTCCCTTAAAACAATCTCCACCTCACCTCTTCATATTAGGGGCTTCCGCGGCAGCGAAACCAGCTGCTGCTACTCCTCCTGCTGCACCGGCGACCCCTGCTGCCGCCTACAGGACGAACACCTACCAAAAACGTTTTTGCGTCCTTCCCTTTCTGTAAACACACTTCATTAGGGGTTGCGAGGCATCCTAGCGGCCTAGCCTGCTGCCCTTGCAGCTGTGCCAGCCGGCCGCGTGGCAGTCGATCCCACTGGATCCCACAGGATCCCACGCGATCCCAATCAGGTCTGGCGGCCTCAGTTGTCGCCATTTCGGTGGGAGTGCATCTGCTTGTGGAAAGAATAGAATCGGGTGCAGGTCGCTGCAGCAGCGGCCTCAACGACAGCAGTAGCAGCCCTAGGGGCAGCAGCAGCACAAGCAACAGCGGCCGCTGCGTGTTCCTTCCTCATTTGAGTAACAAAGATCCAGCAGCCATGTTTACAAATGCTGACTATATCTGGGTGAGGATGGAGGGGTCTGTTGGGGGTGTTTTGCAGCGGTTTAGGCTGCTGCTGGTGGTGGTGTTTATGTGTGTATTAGTAGCAGCAGCGCCGTATTGTAGGGGCGCGGCGGTGGGGGAGTCGGCTCCGGAGACGGTGGAGGCGGCATTGGAGAGCCCTTCCGCAATAGCAGAAGCTGGTGCAGCAGCAGCAGCAGCCACACACTCATCACCAACAGCTAGTATGGGACCCCGCCACCGCGATTCAACGGCTTCTATTCGGCCCCGGTCTCGGCGTTCTTCGCGATCGGCTGCTTCAGTGAACCGTTCCCACGCTAGCTCTGGGCGCAGGGGAGGCAGCTCACGCAGCAGCCGCAGCAGCAGCCGCAGCAGCAGCAACCGCGGCGACCAGTGGCTGCCGTCGGCTGCAGGGTATGCCAGCACTGCGCTGCTGGGGCTGCTGATTGCCTATGTTCTGCTGGCTGAGCGGCGGACTGCAGCGGCAACAGCTGCCCATGAGAAGGAGTTGGAACAGGGTTTGGTGGCAGCGGAGAGCAGGAAAGCTGCTGAGTATGCAATAGAGAGGGAGAAGGAATTCTGCGCAGCAACAGCAAGGGAGTTGGAGCACCTTAGAATAGAGATGCTACAGACGAGCGAGCTGCTGCTGCAGCTAGAAGAACGTCGAGATACCGTTGTGGCTAAGGCAGCAGCAAAGGCAGCCGAATCCAAGGCACATGAATCCAAGGAACTCGAGGCGCTGCGCAAGCGGGTGCAGGCAGCGCTGGCTGCTAACTACGAGGCGCATGTAAGCCTGGATGTAGCGCAGTTACTGTGGGGCGTTGCAGATGATGCTGCAGCAGCAGATCTGCTGCAGCAGCTGCAGCAGGAAAGCAGCATGCTAGATGCAGAAGAAACCAGACTACAGACTGCACTACAAACGCTGAAGCAGTCCGAATCAGTGGAAAGCGTTCTTGCTAGCAAGCAGAAACAGCTCGATGAGTTAACGGAGCTGCTAAAAGGTAGCAAGGAGGAGCTAGATAAGCTGAAGGCAGAAACCGCAGCTCAGCAACCAGAGGCTCTTGCAGCGGAGGACGCTGCTGTGTCTGCTGCGGTGCAGCAGCTGGAGGCGGAGCTGCAGCAGCTGCTGCAGAAGCAGAAGCAGGAGCGCAAATCTCCTGCGAATCAGCAGCAGCTAATGGAGGAGGTGCAGAAGGCTCAAGAAGAGAAGCAGCAACTACAGCAGGAGTTAGAGGAACTCACAATTGCCCCGACAATGTACAAAGTAAGAGACAGGGCCCTGGAGGAAGCAGCTGCTGTGCTAAAGGAGAACATGGACTTTCTTAACCGCGTCGTTACTCCTAGACCCTCTGTTATCAAGAACCCCTCTTATATTGAGCACGAGAAGAATATGTACCCGGAGGAGATGGAGTTGCTGCTGTCACGGCAAGAGCTGCTGCGGCTAGAAACTAGAGAGAGGACTTTAGAGGCGGAGGCATTATTGCTTGAACAGGGGACGGCAGAGGAGGTTCAGGTAGCGCATGCCCTCTGTCGTCTATTAAGAGCAAAGGCAACAGCATCAGCAGAGGAACTCCAGTTTAAGGGAAGCAGCGGTGCCGCGTTAGCCGAGCAGCTGCTCCAGACTATCGAGACCGCTACCGCTGCTGCTGGTGCTGCTGCTCCTGCGGGTAATGCTGAAGATGCCGGTGCAGCCGCTACAACTGCTGCTGCGATCCCAGGCCCGCAAGAGGTGTTGGTGCAGGAAGCGGAGGCCGCTGCTGCTAGGCTTGAGCCAGAATCGGTGCGACAGGCTCGTGCGGTGCTAGCAGCAGCAGAACAGGACTTAGAAGATAAGGCAACGGCAGAAAGATCAGTTGCTGCTGAGTTGGATTGGCTAGGCCGAGTAATTCCCGAGGTGCAGGAGCGGGTAGAAGAAGATTTCCGTGCTGTCGACTTGCTGCGGCAAACAATAGCGAGGCGCACAAGCGACCCTCAGGGTTTTGCGTTTGCCGCTGTTGAAGACCGCGCTCGAAAGGCAGATAACCGCGTAAGGCTAATGCGGATGATAAAGAGCTGCCACTCGGACTTCTCGGCGGATATGTTTAAGCAAGTGGATGAGAGTGCGGACCCTCAGCAATTGTGGGTCTACCATCTCGAGAGGACTGCAGATGAGTACGTGGTAGGAGCACAGGAGCTGATGGAGCTATATAGTGAGATGCGGCTATCCAGTGGGGAAGCAGGAAACGCCTTTTGGAAGCTCCGTCTGGAGGAGGGGTTGCAAGAGCTGCCACTGGGTGTATTGATGGAGAAGGTGGTTGAGGGCCCTTCAGGCGAGCTGCAACAGCAGTATACAAACAGCCGATATGACGAAGTGCAAACCGAGTTAGTTGTTCTTAAGCAGCAGAGAAGAACATACCTCCAGAACCGCGAAGAGGTTAAACAGGGACTGGCCTTCATTGCCGCCGCCAACTACTGGGAAAACGACCTCCCGAAGTCATTAATAAACGCGCATGCTTACCTTATCCGGTTATCGGAGGCAATTAAATACTTGGATGAGAGGCAGCGGCGGCTGGAGCGGATCACAAAGGAGCAAATTAGGGACGAGGTGAGCGCGAGCTTCTTGAATGCCCTGTGGGAGGCATTCAGAAGACAGAAGGACTATGAAAAGGATGCAACGGTAATCGAAAAAGTGCATGAAGCCAATATGGAGGCCCTCGCAGAGTCAGAAAGACAAAGCCAAGATACGCTCTCACGCGCAGACAAACGTGAGGCAGAACTCTGCCCTACTGTTAACCGCCTCTCCCTCCCTCTAGTGCTGCCGCCTCCAGCACGCAGTGACTCTGGAAAGACCGCAGAAGAAAAAGAAGAAGAAGTAATGACAGAAATTCCAGGTGCACAACGTGTCCGAGCCTTCGATGAACTCGTTGGTCTCACCCTCCCCAATGTCATGAAGCTTAGGAAGAAGTCTTCCAAGTCGGATAGCAAACCGTCCAAAACACAGAGACGCGTGTAATCCCGTACAACGACATACATACATACACCGGCGAACGGGTCCTCCGTCAACCCCACACACCATGAAACAACAGCAGCAGTAGCTGCTGGTGCTGGTGCTGCTTCAGCACCAGAGAGAAAGCGCGCTTCTGTCAGCAGCTAAGGCGTTACCATTTCCTGAGGCCCCGCAGTGTCTGAAGCCAACAGACAGTTGCCTTCGGCGTATACGATGGTCGTCATCTGGTGCTACTGCAGCGGCAGCCCTAGTATTCTTGAGGTTGATGATGGGGAAGATAGTATATCGGTGTGTTTCTTTGCTCTTTTTGTTGTCTCCTTGCAGCAGTCGGTCTCCATCATGTCTCTCCTTTTTCTCCCTGTTCAGTATTCGTCGCCTGATTCCTGTTTCCGTCTGCATGCGAGACGTCTTGTTGGTTTTTTTCTGCTCTGTCTTTAAAGTGCATATGTTGCTGTATGCTGAGCATCCTCAGTTCTTGACCGGTCAATATGAGCCTCTGTCTGAACTTCCCATCAAGTTCCCGCCTCTCATACATGGCGTTTATCGCCTCGTGAAGCCCTTGTAGCAGCAGCAACGCTCAGTTCTGCTGAGGCTGCTGCAGCTGTTGCAAGGATTGCTTAAGTAGCTTGTGAGAAGCAGATTTTGAGGTTTGCACCCTGCAGCAGGTTATTCGGCTGCTACAGCACGTGCTGCTGCTGCGGTAAGTGTTGCTGCTGCACATGCTCTGCTGCTGCTGCAGCACGCGCTGCAGAACAACTCGCAGTCCCCTGGAGGGGTTTTGGCTTGCAAAGAAGTTTAAAGTGCGCATTTAGGAAGTTTTGACTAGATGTTTAAGGTATACCTAGGATTTAGGACACGACGCCAGAGAACCGCCGAGCGTTACCTCAGGGGCACAAGTCTTCAGTCTTCACGTGTAGGTTTTAGTGTTTAAATGTCCTGGGACAGTGCAGCAGGGGCTAGCTGATTATGTATGAATAGTTCTTACAAGCTCAGAGGGTCCCCTCCTACAGCTCCTAATAAGCACATGTATCCTTTTCTGAAAAGCTGTATTTCTCCTTAATATCACCTGTTTCGTGCATCCCTCATGCCTGCGCGCAAACGAGCAATACAACTTTGCTGGCCGGCAGGCAGTTTGCTCGCGTTGCAGGTGTGTGCATCAGCAGATAATATAACAACGGATCGGCGTTTCCTGTTGTCTGCGCACCGCTGTTACTATCCTGAGGGTCTACTGCTGCTCTAACGTTTGTCAATTTGATTTGGTGCTTGCTCGTCTACTCTTCTAGTTTATAAAAGGCTTTGTGTGCAAACTTGGGAAGGCAGCTGGTGAGTCGTTATGGCAACCGGAGACACCGGCGGCAGCAGGCGCTGTTCGCTGCAGCTACCCAGAGCCACCGTACACTAAGAAGACAGGCAACTGCAATTCTCTGCAGCCTTATGTAACCTAAACCATAAACTGTAGTCATCTGAAATGACGCATGCAGAGGGCTGTACTGCACATCTACAACTGAGGAGAGCACTAAATATCCTATCTGCTGTATTGCTGCTTCTCAGCAGCGAACCTTGCGCTAGTCAGGCAGCTATCAGAGTAGCCACGCTTCCACTTATGCATGCACTTCAGCCTTCTTCAAACAACTTCGTGCATATTCACGCCCCTATATTTCTGTAGCTCTATACGCCACTTTATTCTCCTCTCGCTACGCCGTACAACTCCGCCTAATTGATTTGCAAGCAGTGTCGTACTCCCTTAATGGACAGCTCGGGTGTATCAGTTGAGGAAATATGCAATGAAAAGATACCTGTAAGCATTGTTGGGACTTCTCAGAAACACCTCGAGGCCCTTTAGGCCTTCGAACTCTAACCACCCTCCTACGGACAAAAGGAGAGTCTTCTGCATGCAGCAGCTCATGTGGGACTGGCTTGGGGCTGTTGTGGGACGCTGGCCTGTCTGTTAGGATGCATGTAGTAACCCCACAACGAACACGCAAACAGATAGGAGGAGGGAGACGCCTTTGGAGACAGCAGAGACCAGCAGGAACAAACGAATTACAATACAATCGCAACTCATAAAAACCCAAGTGCGCCTCATCCATTCGGGCCTACAACGTCGGCCTCGCAAAGCCTGCGAGCTGCATTTGGGGCCCCAAACTGTGGGGCCCCGGTTGCATGAGAATATCCGCTCCCTCTGGGAGGGGAAGAAGCTGCAGCGGAATCGCCTCTGCGGCTCTCTCCAATCGTTCGAAGACTAGAAAGAATGCAGATTATTGTACGAGGAGAGTGTGCTGCTGTGCACGGCCACAGCCAGAGACAGACTCCAGTTAATGCACAGCCAGCAGGTCACCCGCCAGAGAGACGGGTGCCCCTGGCGAACAACGCCTTTGAATTTGGTCGTGGAAGGGGCTGCTAGAGAAGACAGCGGGAGCAAGACACTGGCTTCTACCGACTTAGAGACAGTTTCTGCCTCGAGCATTTAGCAATGTGCAGCCTTCGGTCCTGCCCCGCAGGCAAACCATCAGAGCACGAAAAACTGAGTCTTTGCTGTTGAAGGCCATCTAACTTACACACCTCCGGTTAAGGCTGAGACGGCGGCAACGGAGACAGCGGGAGAGACAGCGGGCGGAAGCGGCACAGGTGCTGACGAGGGAGGCGAGGAGACGGAAAGGAGACAGGTATGCAGGCCATTTGACGCTGTCGGCGTCGGGAGAGGGGCCTTGCACTGCCGGTGGCTCCTGCCTTCAGACGCGCGCCTGTGTGTTTATGTATGTCGGGTTTATTAGGGTTTAGGTTTTAGAAAGCCCCTGCCGTTCCAACTGCGTTGCCACACACCGTCGTAAGGCCGGCTAAACCCTAAACCCTAAACCCCATATACATTGGCCTCCACCCATGCGATCGCAGCCGGCCGAGGGCTCGGTTGTACCCTAAGGGTGTAGGATATTATTAAGGAGTGTAAGAAGCCTTGCTCTTCTTGCTTAGTTGTAGGATGCCGTCATAAGACTCTACCGTAAATCCGTCCTTGAGTTGGCGGACAGAGGAGGGCTGCGGTCTAGAGGGGACAGCCTCTCCTGCAAATCTTTTGTTGCTTCCGGTGGGGAAGTGAACAAATTTCCTCGGTCGGGGGTCTCCTGGGGGATGCAGCAGCACTGCACCTTCTAGAGGGGCATACTTTCTTTTAAATGTCTCAACTAACTTCCTCAATCGCCGTAGCCTCTTACCCTGCTCCTGGATAGCCTTGACATGTGCGTCGTACAGCACTTGTTCTGCCTCCATGCTTTCCCCAAAGAGCGCCTCTCTGCGTTCCCTCTCCCTCAAAGCCTCCATAAAGAGCGCTTCTATCCGTTTCCTAATGGCTTCTGGGGTGCGTTGCTGCAGCACCTTAAGGCGCTGCTCGCAGAAGGCCTGATTTTCCTGTTCCCTTAGCAGCGAAGTCAGCGCCTCCATGTGGTCTCTATGAATAGCATGCAAGTCTATGTTTTCTGCCTTGGTGATAGCTATTAACCACTTTTGTACCGCCTTAGTGAATTCCTTTGATTCCTTCAGCTCCTCCTGCAGCTTCTCTATTTCATTTACTGTCCATTCTGCCCAGGACTCTGACAGCAATCGCTGCTCAGGAGAGGAGGGTCCTTCTGCTACTGCCTGCTGCAGTACTTCTTTAAAAACATTAGGCTTTAAAAGGTCTTCTTTTTGCCGGTTGAGCCATATATCATCATGGGCTGTCCTCTCCGCTAGACGGATAGCAAGAAGTTGTTCAAATATCTGCCGCATCCCCATTAGGACCCCGTCATCTGCATACTCGCATTGCCGCTGCTGTTGCTGCAGCTTCTCCCCTTCCCTGTCTTTCCCTTCGCCCCCTGTAACTACTGCTGCCGTTCTTTCTGCTTCGCGGCGCTCCACTGCTGCGTGGTTCTGCAACATCTTTAGTGCCTTCTCCAGCTGCATGAGCCGCTGTTCCACCATATCGTCCTCCGCTATTGCATGGGCAACAGCAAACTTCACTTTGTCGTCAGCAGCATCTCTCAGCAACTGAACCTGCCGTTGATGCTCCCTCTGCTGCAACTCCGCCTTTGCAATCTGCGATTCTAACTGCCGTAACTCTGCCTCCAGTGTTTGCCGCCTCTCCTCTCTCTCTCGTAAACGATGGCGAGCCAAATCCACTTCTTCCTGAGCCCGCATCAACCCCTCCCCCACCGTCTCCTCGTCTTCCGCAGCATCCTCTGCTCCACCTGCACCACCTTCCCCAGCTGCAGCACCAGAAGGACCTTCTGCTGTGTCCTCTGCAGATGGCTCCTGCTCCGCGCTGTCCGAGTCTTCCACCAAATCAACGGGGAAGACCACTGGTGCGTCTGCCTGTGCAAGAACTAAGTTTCTAATGGCCTTTGCCAAGAGAGTCCTTTCTTTGGTATCTGTAAAAGTTGCAAGTTCTGCCTCTACCTCCGACTTGCGTCTGTGCAGACGGCGCAGCAGTTTCTTGGTTGCTAGCAGTTGCGCCTCTTCAGGGTAGAGGGAGGAGATGGCGCCGCTAAGATCATCCTGGCTGTCTCCTTTCTCCGCCTGTCCGACTTCTGCTGCTGCCGCTGCTTCTGCTGCATCATTGCGCGGTGCCCCCACGAGCTCGTGCAGCTCATCGGCAAAGCTCTGCTGCATCTCAGTTGCCTTTTTAAGCATTTCGTCTTTTCTTTTGAAGAAATCAGGTGCATGGTCAAAGAAGTCAAGATGCGCAAGCCCTCGCTGTAGCAATTGATCTATCTCGTCCATTTCTTTCTCTATTTTTTGTTTCTCTGCCTCAGACGATTCAGTTGCCTTAATGGCCTCAGCAGTGCGGTTCTCCAGCTCTGTCTGCAGCTCCTTTAGCTCATTGAGGTCTCCATCAAGAGCTGTCTCCTCTTCCTCGTGCCGCTTTTGTTCCCCTACCTTTGTCTCCTGCCAGTCTTGTAGTTCATCTTCAATAAAATCAATTTCCCTCTCGAGTGCATACAGCTGCAACTGTTTTGCATGTAACATCTCATCCACTGTCTTTGCTTGGCGGCCCCTTGTTAGGCAGCTATCTATGAGCGCTGCATTTCTCTCTTCCTCCCTTAGTTCTTCTTGCAGACGGGTCAGCAACCCCTTAGCTTCTGTCTCCTCTAGGCCGTGCACTTTCGAGAAGGCTTCTAGGGACACTAGTGCCTCTTCTCTCCCTTCCCTTGCAGCTGCAAGTCGAGTCTTAGCAGCCTCGAGGGTGCGGGCTGCCTGCTCATCCATGGGGACGAGGGCTTCTGCATGACGGGCGCGCAGCATCTGCATGCGCTGCTGCAGCATCCACAGCTGCTGCTCCGTCTGCTCCTGCTGCTGCTTTGCTACATACATCTCCTGCAGTGCCAAGTGCTGCGTCAGCTGTTCCCTCTCTCCTGCTTCCTCGAGCTGCTTCCTCGTTGCTGCTGTATCGTCTTGCTGCTCCAACTCTCCCTCCAAGCGCGCTTCTTCCCTAGAAAGCCTCTTTTCTTGCTGGAGCACCTTAATTGCTAGTAGCAGCGCAGAAGCCAATGCAATCAATGATGCCAGCTGCATGCGGCGGGTCTGTGAGGCGGCAGGCTGCTGCTGCTCCCTACCAAGCAACGCGTGACTTCTTTCCCGTTTGATGCTGCCTCTGTCGACTTCTCCATATCTGCGATTCCATCGTGAACTCCCTCTTGATGTGCCTCTAACGCTTTCTGTCTGTATTTTCGCTTCATTCTTCGCACTTCGATTATACCTACGGTAAGCAACCTTCAGCCAGTGTCTCATCTGTTGCAGCTTCACCGGTACCTGCTCCACCACCTGCTGCACTATCTGCTGCGCAATCTGCAGCGGTTGCTGCTGCGCAGTGTGCTCCTCGTGCTGTACAGTCTGCTGCTCATCTTGCTGGTGCTCAGAAACCGCGTTTCTGCTGCTGCACGGCCAACATAAACAACTCAACAACAGCAGCAACACCAGCAGCAGCACCAGCGGCTGCCTCCCCAACAGCCGCGGCGCCTGCAGGCGACGCAGACAGCCTGGAGGCCACATGCGGCTTTTGCTGCCTTCAGACAGAATGCGCAGCAGATAGAGACCTCTATACGGCAAGCTGCTGCTCTCTTGTGCTGCTATCAGGCAATAGGGCGCCGCCTACAGCAGTATGGAACCTCGCAGCCACTCCAAACGCAAGCATTACATCAGGTGAGCATGAGGTAGCAGAGACTGCTGATTCTTCAGGTGCTTCTTTCCTTCGCCGGCTGCTGCTCGTGCTGCTGCTGCTACTGCTACTGGCAAAGAAGATCACAGAAAGAAGAGGTCGATTTGGACTGATCGCCGCCGATGAGGGGGCGCAGATAAGGTCCCGTTAACTGCGAAAGGCCTCAGCTGTACAGACAGCCGAATGCGGCGAAGCGAGGTTAACAACCGGATGAAGCTCAGCACAATGTCGAGCACGGCGGTTATCTGCTCTTCAGCGGGTGCTGAAGGCAGATCACTGTGGGGAGAGGAGAGGCAATCAGAAGGGTCGCTTGTCTTTGAGCCAGATGAAAAGAGATAAAATAGCTGAAAACAAGCCAAGAGGCAAAGAAGACAGCACCGGGGAAAGATAAAGAACAGCAGCAGCAGCAAAACTGCCCCTTCAGTGGCCCTCGTGATCCTTGCCTACGGACCTCGTCAACAGAACCACATCAATAAATATGATAAAGTTTCAAAGATTTCCTGTGGGCTCTGCTGTATTATAGGGGTACATTTTGGTCTTTTTCTGTTTAAATACGGGGCACAGAAACGCACACCGTCATTGAATGCATGTATCGCCTGCGAGCCACCTCCCAACGACTACGCCACATGCCACAGCGCCCGTGCCTGGGCGGCTCCGCATACTCGGCTGCGCTACTTTTACGATGCCGCTGCGGTCCACAAGTATTGACGGTGAAATTTAAATTTAATACTCACATGCAAATTAAAGCGAAGTTTTACTAATAACTCCACCGCAAATGCAATACAACTCCGCTAAACCCGACGCACCCGTTGCGGCCCCTGGGGTGCCTCTCTCTCTATGCGTCCTCCAGATTATCCCGAGTTTTCATTGAATGTTATGTATTTGCAGCTTCATATCTTTTCTACTCACTCCAAATCAAAAATTCGTAGGTCACGAGCAATGAAGCACTGAGCGCCTCTGTCCTCGTGCCTACGTTATGCAAACACGGTCGAGAGCTGCAATAGAGAAAATTATTTGAGATAAAAGTCATCATCAAGGACAGCGTGCCATTCCTTTTCCTCTAAAAAGAAACCCTCACCAGAGGGAGGGGTTGTTGTTGCCTCGCCTGCGTGGCTTCTCGGTTCCGTCTATACAGTGGCCGCACACAACCCTGCTCTGTCCCAGTAGGCAATTGACATGCAAGAAGAACTCTTGCACAACTGTTTAGAATGTTCGTCGATGAGGCAAACTGGGCATTTCTGAGTTTTATAAGTAGATCCTTTAGTGTAGCATAGTCTGTGCCAATAGCAGCTGCTGTTTGCCAAGCAACCCAGGGAGCACAGGGACTCGGAAAGATGTTAGGCCCCTGGTGAAGCTTCTTTCGGCTGCTTGCTGGCCTCTGCGCAAGTGATTTGTTTGCACTTCTCCTCAGCTACAAGGTCGGCGCTTCGAGAGAATCCCCCTACGAAGGCACAGTATGCGAGAGTGCACATCCATAAAGGTGTACACGGGTAGCGGGTACCCGCGAACGACCGCATTCTTCTCCGGATCTTGTTCACCTCCTTCTGCACCCACACGGAACCCTAGGAAGTGTTCTTACACATTCCTGGTAAGCAGAAGTATTTCGTCAATGCAGCTAGTCATCTCTTCTCCATTGATTGGGCCAGCAAACTAGCGGTTGGTCTGCCGCTTCCTTTCGGTATGCGCATTCGCAAGCGCGGACTCCAACTTGCGACTGCGGGTGTGGAACGGTTTCGTGCCTACTAACAGAAATATAGTGCTGAACTGTGCAACCAGTCACGTAGTCTTCCTATCCAGAGGGTAGGAAACTCCCGCTACATCTCCTATTCAAGAGATGAGGGTTCGCGATAAAGTGGAATAAACGTTGCACCAACTGTGAGTTCGATGAGACGCACGGAGATTGCTTGTTCTCCTGGTGGCGCCGTTCAAAGCCTTGCTTGTGAGATCCAATATCCAGAAGCTTAAGAACCGTATCCTTCCCTCAGATGAAGCAGTTGAAGAAGTGCCGTTCGTCTCTTGGATGTACAAGTTTTCCATCACCAGGCCTTGCAGGGCTTGGTGAACCTTTTATCTAGTCGCATCCTCTGCGCTGACCAGTTACCCATTACCTCTCCCGAGGGCAGTCATGCCATAAAGCAATGAGATAGAACATCCAGGTCTACTACTACGCTGCTGTTAACAAGTGATTGATACTTACCGATAGAACGGTCTATCGAGAGCTTTCCAAGCTCTGAAGTCCGCCAAGGCCCCCTCCATATCGAGAGAGGAATAACTATATATCGCAGCGTATGCGGGAACACTTCCGTAGTCCTTTTACGGTCCCCTAAAGCTGTTCCGTTGCTCATATACACCATCAATTTTCCTGTGCCGCCTTCTACTGCCCAAGGCGCACTACAGCTCGTAGGAGGTAAGGTCCTCAACTACCTTCGCTTCGGGTCTGGCTGTCATATTTGGATGGTCACCAAATGCGAGGTATTCTTCATGAATTGGTTTTATGCTGCTAGAACACTGCTGGGGGTGGAGGAAATGCGCTTGCTACCGCCTCTACTACCATCCCTACCAGAGGGCATATTCTAGACGACCTCCATATTGCGTGAGAAGCGAAAGGCTGATATTTTACGGAGACCTCTTTAGACTTCCAAGCTAAGTGAGATGCAGTTTAACTGCAGTCCTTTAGACCACTTGCAAAACAGCTGACCCTCAGTGTCCAGCTCTCCTGAGCACGGAGACAGAAACACCTGTTGAAGAGAGAGGAGAGGACTGTTATGAATTTAAGTGCACCGTCCCTCTATGAATAGCACAAGTCAGCCTTCCCCAACTCCTCTTCCGGTGCATATATGGCCTATTCTGCTTGGATGCGTGCACCAACACTGTATGCACCCGTTTGAGATTTCTGCATTTGTGCTGGCTGCCTACAAAGGGCGAGTTAGAGTTTATGCACCCACGGCAGAGACCTATACAGATGCTTGACAGGCTATTCAACTCTGCTGGCAAAGGAGTTTGTAGCTGCTTCTTGCAGCCCTTATCTTAAATAACCTGACTCTACTTCAACTCACGGCAGTCGTCCTCTAACGCTAAGGATATTATATAACATTAAACTGTATTATTTGCATTAATTGCACAGTAAGGCAATTAATTCGCGAGCAGCGAATGTCGGGACAACTGCGAAGCCACATCCCATTAAAACGTTGCAACAGAAGGATTGATGCTGAAATGATAATGGGTTGCCTGATGCTGCTACTGCATTTGGTGCAGCAGCAGCATAAACTGGTGCTGCTGCTGTTGCTGCTGCATGCAGCGATTGAATGAGCTACTTACGACTACCATCGGTCGCAGTAGAGCTGTGCGAGCCTGCGGGCTTAGAAGGCATAGCTTAGAAGGTGTAGCTCTCCCCCTTTGTCTCATCTTCTTTTCCTAATTTGTAAAGTATTAATACCCTTAAATTTCTCAGTCTAGCGATATTATAAACCCCGTGGCTGCCGCGCCCCCCGCTTTGACCCTGTCTGTCCCGCTGCCGCTGCTGTTGTTGTTGCTCTTGCGTCTCCTTCTCTGCAGTGTACCAACATCTCATAGGTGGTATATAATCCCGCGTATTCAGGAGGATCCGTGGCTTCTTAACGGAGCAGCAGCACATTTGCTTCTGCGCTGAGACGCAGCGAGCCCGCTTGCTGCTTCTGGAAGTGTGTTACAGCGGCAAGGCCAGCAGCAGAAGCAGCAGATGCTGCTGCATCACTGCACGGAAACTCCTCTTTAGAGTCACAAGGACTTCTACTTTTGCTGCTGCATCGTCAGCGCAAGCCTCTGCAGCTGCAGTAGCTCGTGGAGTGCAGCAACCGCAGCAGCGTCGCCGCTGCCGCCGGAGCCCCCGCAGCAGCGACAGCAGCAGCGCCTCAGCAGCAGCACAAGAACGTTTGGACATTGCTCCAGAATCGAAAGACGTAGCAGCAGCCGCTGCTGCAGCAGCAGCAGCAGCAGAACGAGGGTAGTTTTGGGAGACGGTGTCCCAACACCTAGACAAAATGTCTCCTTATCAGTATTTATTCAAGTACATCATCATCGGCGACACAGGTAGGAGTGTGCCTGTGTGTGTGAGCTGCACTTTAAACAATAAGCCTCAAGACATAAACCCTAAACCCAAGCTCCTGCGGTTTAGCGTCTGGGAGTGCCCTGGTGCTCCGTACCTGTGGACGGCAGCCACGCAGCCTGAGGGGGTGGGCGGGAACCGGTGCCAAGGGATTTGGGTCTAGAGTTTAGGATCCAGGGTTTGAGGTTTGTCTTGCAGGGGTGGGAAAGAGCTGCCTCTTGCTGCAGTTCACAGATAAGCGGTTTAGAACAGACCACGACTTGACAATTGGTGTTGAGTTTGGTGCTCGTCTTATTCAGATAGATGGAAGACAGATCAAGCTGCAAATATGGGACACGTACACCCGCAACCCTAAACCCTAAACCCTAAACCCTAGTCTATCGGCTCCCACTGGGGCTTGCGCTCGGCAGCCGTTTCCAGAGCCTCGACAAGCCTTTCGCTTCTGCCGCTTCTTAGATACGCCTACTGCTGGTGCTGTTGCTCCTGCTGCTGCTGCAGTGCGGGACAGGAGTCCTTCCGGTCAATAACACGCTCCTATTATAGAGGGGCAGCGGGCGCGCTATTGGTGTACGACATATCGAGGTGGGTATTACGTGTCTGTACACTGTAGCAGCAGGAACAGGAGCAAACGGGAGATGTAGCTGCAGCAGAGAGCAGTCTGCAGCAGATGGAACAATGGCAGCGGGGCGAAGCCACCTTCAGCAGCTGCTGCAGCTCTTACCGCCGCCGCAGCTGCTGCCTTGGCGCCTTAGTACTAGTATACCACCACCACCATAATTATAATAAGCAACAGCAGCAGCAACGGCGGCGGCAGCAGCAGCATAATTAGAGTTCGTGAGTGGGTGTTTGGGGTGTATAGGCGAGATACTTTTGTGCATTTATCTCGATGGTTGGAAGAAGTGCGACAAAATTCAAATCCTTATATGACAATTATTCTTGTGGGAAACAAATCCGATCTAGAAAGGAGAGAAGTCACATTTCAAGAAGGTCTGCTGATGCTGCTGCTGCTTGTGGTACTGGTTTCGTTACTGCTGTTGCAGCCTTTGGTGCTGCTGGTGCTGTTGCTGTCTCTGGTGCTGGTCGTGCTATTGCTCTCTGTTGTGCTGCTGGTGCTATTGCAGTCTCTGATGCTGCTGGTACTGTTGCTGTCGTTGGTGCTGGTGGTGGTGCTGCTGCTGTTGTTCTCTTGCGCTGGCGGTACTGCTGTTGCTGTTGCTGTCTCCGGTGCTGTTGCTGCTGCTGTTATAGGTGCTGCTGCTGTTACTGATGCTACTGCACGCGCGCTGCTGTTGAACCACAGGCCGCTGCAGTCGCTTCAGCTGTGTTTAAGCCCCTTCGTAAGGGAGGTGTCATGAGAGCTAGGCAGAATCAATTTTTTTGGGTTTAAGATGTAGGGTTAGCGTACTGTTGCTTGTTTCAGGCCAGGACTTTGCCCGTCAAAACAATTTAATATTCCTGGAGACTTCTGCCAAGACCGCACAAAACGTAGAGGAGGTGGGGCTCAGGATTTAGGCCTACTGCCTAGGTTTTAGCACCAGCAGCAGCAACAGCAGGAGAGGGAGCACCAGCATTTGTGAGGCTTCATATTGAATGGGCTTTTCTGCTTCGCGTGTTGTGCCGTTTAGAGCATACGGTTTAGGGTTTAGGGTTTAGGGTTTGTGTGCAGGCATTCATCTTGACTGCTCGGAAGATATACGAGAATATTCAAGCAGGCATTTATGACCTCTCCAGTGATGCTCACGGCATCAAGTGTGGACCAGTGGTCACCCAACGCCCCACACGCCTAGGCAAGGATTCCCTTGCCGCTGTTGCTGCTGCTGATTTCGCTGCTGCTGCTGTTGTTGCTGCTGCTGTTGCTGCTTGTGCCGGTGGTGTCATGGGTGGTGGTGTCGCGCTGGCTGCTGTTGATGGTGATGCTGTTGCTGGATGTGAAATGGGCCTTCCGTTTCGTCTGCGGCTCCTTGTGCTTCTTGCTGCTGTTGCATATGCTGCAACTTCTGCTGCTGCTGCTGATTCTGCTGCTGCTGCTGATTCTGCTGCTGCTGCTGCTGTTGTTTTTACGCAGAATCGGGCAGGCAAGAGCACCGGTGGTACACGTGCTGCAACTAGTGAATTGTAGAGGTTCGTCAGCAGCAGCACCTGCAACATCAGCAGCGCCTGCAGCAGCAGCACCACATGGAGCAGCGGCAGCACCTGCAGAGTGAGAGACTGATTGTCTTACGCGAGCTTAGGACGGTTCTTGCCTTTGCTGTAGCTTCACCTACCACAGCAGCAGCTGCAGCCGCAGCTGCAGGCTACTATAGTTGTAGAGTTTCACGGAGGCTGTTGCCGCAGTGAGTATGTGCTGCAGCTACGTGAGTGTTTCCTGTGCTGCTCCCCAAGCGACTGCTGTAGGAAGGAGCAATGACAACAGAGCAGGGGCAGCAGCACCAACTGGGCAGCAGCAGCAGCAGCTGTTGCTGCAGCTGCAGGTATGTGTATAGGCTGTTTGGTGTGGCACGGCGGGACCCTGGATTTATGCGTAACTTTGTTGTTTTTGGTGATTAGCAGCAGCACAGTCAGCAGCGGCTGCGTATGCAGCAGCTGCTGCGTATGCTGCGGCTGCTGCTGCACAGTTGCTGGCCTCTCTTTGGAAGGCGACAGTCTGGCCTACTGGAGGGGTTTGTTAAGCGGGAGTTTTGTTTGCCCGCAGAACAGAGCTTTACTGGAACAAATCCTAAACACAAAAAAACCTAGAGGGTGTGCCGAAGGCGGTCGGGTTTGCAAGGTGTTGATGAGGGCTTCCTTGCTGGAGGTCCAGGGTTTAGGGGGTGGCGGTGTGACATGATGGTGTATCAGGGCCTAGGGTTTAGGGTTTGGAGTGTAGGCTTTAGGACACTCTGCTCGGGAAGCGTCAAGGCGTAGGGTCTCGATAGGGTGAGGCTGGCTTAACTCTACAGCAACGGTTTAGTGCTTGCGGTTTAGAGTTTAGGGGAATAGATCTTTTAACAGGTTTAGCACTGATTGCGTGGTAGGAGAAGGGTTTAAGATCTAGGGTTTCGGGTTTTCAGTTTCGACAACGAGCCCGCTCGACACATCCGGGGGCCCCTCCAGAGGGGCCCCCAATGGGTGCCGCGAGCGGGCCTCCCCCTGAAGGGGCCCACAAGTATATACATATATATATATATATATATATATTTAATCTGTTTTATTTAATTGCTTTCTTCTACGTGAAAGGATGCATCAGTGTCCCTTTCGGGCCTACGAACAAGAAGATCAGTACCCCTTTTGATCTGGGGCTTTTATTGTTTAGCGCTTAGTGCTTAGGGTTTGGCGCCTTTGAAATATCCCTGTGACCTTAAAAGCCTGTGATCGTCTTCTGAATCTTTTCGTGTTAGTTCTTAAGGCTGCTTTGCCTTGATGACTTTTACGGGGGCCCCCTGCGGGCCCCCTCCAGGGGCCCCTCCAGGGGCCCCCTTTAGGGCCCTTGTTGGGTTGGAGCCCGGATCCCCCCCAACTGTGGGGGCCCCAGTAAACTTGCAAACAGATATCGAGTGGGAGGTGGGGGCCCCTGGGTCCCCTCCTGTTGTGGCCTTAGAGAGCGCCAGCTGCAGCGGCAGTGTTAAAGCTGTAGAGATATCCAGCTGTGGGTCCCTCTTGTTTGTAGCTGTAGCCAATACCATTAGGGTATACAGCTTGCTGCAGGGAGTTCCTGCTGAAAAAGGCCCCCCCGAGGGGCCCCCAGTAGAAGAAGGCTGTTCCCCTTCGCCGCAGGGGCCCCCCCTTGCTGCAGTCTATTTCAGTCCTAGCGAGCATGTCCTCGGCCTTACAGAAAGGAGGGGCCTCCTTACTGCCTATGGCACAACGTGTCTTACGGTGTACGAGTTGAGGTGGCAGGGGCCCCCAGGGTGCCCCACCAAGGGCCAAAGTGAGATACGTGGGGGGCCTGTGGGGGCCCTCAAATACCCTCTACAAGACGGTGAGAGGCCCCAAGGACATCTGGCGCTACAGCAGATATTCATGAAAAGAGACATTCGGAGAGTACTAACAGCAGAATTTCTTTTTCTCGGCCATCCATCCAGTCAGGCAGAAGCAGCAGCAGTTGCTGCTGGTGTAGCAGCCGCAGATGTCCAGCCAGAAGCAACAAAACGGTTAGGAAACTGTTGCCTTGAAGCAGCATCAACATCTGCAGCACCAGCAGCAGCAACAAGAGGCTGTTCTCTTGGAGCTTATCTGTTGGTACTTTTCTCTGACGGCTTGTTGCGTATATTCCATGCAACAACAGGGGCCGTGCTGCTGCAACTGCGCTGCAGCAAGGAGTATCTGCAACTGCAGGCAGCAGCAGCAACGGAGACCCTGCTGCCGGCGCCCGCCGATGTCCCAGACAGGTGCTGTTGCAGCAGTACCAGCTCTTGCTGCTGCACCTGCAGTAGCACCAGCAACAGCAGCAGCACCTGCTGCAAGGGGCGACAGCAGCAGCTGCAGCTGCTTCTGGCGGGCGGCACTGCCTTCTCCGAGATATTTGTTTGGTTGCTTAAAATCGACGCATGGGAGCTGCTGAGGGTACGCAAAGAAACAGCAGAAAAACCAGTAGCAGCAGCAGCAACTTGTGCTGCTGCTGCTGCTGCTACTTCACTGGTACTCGTTCAACGGTTAGAAGGGCACAGAGGGGGAATCTTTTCTTTGGCATTTGCTGAAGGGGGAGCTCTCTTGGCTTCTGCCTCGGAAGATAGGGAAGTAAGGCTTTGGTTGCGCAAGCCTAATGCCGCCGCTGCAGCAGCAGCAGCAACAGCAGCAGCAGCAGCATCAACAGCAGCAGCAGAAGCCTCAGCAGCAGGCCACCCGAGCCCTACGGCAGCAGCTGTTGCTGCAGCAGTAAGAATGCTGCTGCCTGCCCTCAGCAGCATGCCGGCTGCAATTGAGGGTACTGCTGTGGGCCCCCCGACTGGGGGCCCCCCCACTGAGGGGACTCTCAACAGTGCTGTGGCTCTACATCAGGGGCCCCACATCTTGATTTCCTACAAATGTGTCTCTGTCTTTAGGGGGCATAGGTCCCGCATATGGGCTGTCTCCTTTCTTGACCTCATGCCTGCCTTCAATCTGCAACAGCAGCAGCAGCAACAGCAGCTGCTGCTCCAGCAGCAGCTGCTGGAGCAGCAGCTGGAGCACCAGCAGCAGCAACAACAACCAGCTTTGAGCAGCAGCACCATCAACTTAGACTCGTTGCTGCTGCATGCGTGCTGCTGCAGTTTGCTGCTGCTATCAGGCGGTGAGGACTCAACTGTAAGGGTTTGGTCTTTGAAGGGCCCTTGCCTGTACACCCTAGAGGCCCATAGGGGAGGTGGGGTACGATCCTTAGCAGCCAGTAGATTTACTTTTTCCGCTGCTTTTCCTTTCTTTGTTTCTGGTGGGGAGGACGGCAGCAGCAAAATATGGCCTCTTGAGGCCCTGCAGTCTCTTAGAGGAGCCCTGGTGCAGCACGCCACCAGCAGCACAAAACACCTGCTACAGATGCTTCAGCCCCTACAGGCGCAGCACATGCAAGCTGCTGCAGCAGCAGCAGCAAAATTAACTCCGGCTGCTGCAGCTGCGGAAGATGTTGATGGCCCAGGGCCCATGAAGAAGACACTGTCTCTTCAACAGGAGCTGGCGCAACCCCAGCAACAGCAGCTGCCGTCCCTCACGCACGACGGGCTTCAGCAGCAGCAGCTGCAACAGCAAGTACAGCAGAAGCAAAAGCGACGACAGCAGCGGCAGGAGCAGCAGAAGCAGAAGCAGAAGCAGGAGACAATCCAAGCGAAGCGGACGGATCAGGGCGATGTGAATTCTACAGGCTTAAAGAGCTGGATGTGGAGTTGTCGTGTTGTAGAAGCAGCCGAAGCAGCAACGGCAGCAGCAGCAACAACAACGGAGACAGAAGGAGAAGAAAAAACAGCTACAGCGGCTGCTTTTGCTACAAAAGAAACAGAAGCGCTGGATATAGCAGACCTAGAGGCGCCTTCTGGAGATGCAGCACAAGGTACCCTAGCAGCAGCAGCAGCAACAGCAGCAACAACAGCAACCACAGCAACAGCAACGGCAGAAGAAATCTGTAAGGGGGCTTGTGGTTGGCTAGGAGGCAGCAGCAAGGACTTCATTCGAGAAGTTTTCTTGTGCTGCTGCGAGGAAACAGAAGGAGACACTTTGATTGTCTCTACAAACTATGGGCACGTATACCTCGTCGCTCACCTTCCTGCAGCCACAGCAGTAGAAGGCTCAGTAACAACAGCAACAACTGCAGCAGCAGCAGCAGCAGCAACACCGTTTCGCTGGTTGCTGCTATGCTGCGTTTCGTCTCCTATAACTGCCACAGGGGTTGCTGACAACTGTCTCTGTCTTGGAGGGGCAGATGGCTGCATCCGCCTCTGTCTCCTTCGTCCCCTAAGGAGCCTTATTGGAGGTTTGCGCCGGCAGCAGCAACAGCTACAGAAGCCGCTGTACCAGCACCAGGGAAGGTGGGGCTTATTACAAGCTGCAGATGTGGCAGTAGTAAAGGCCTTTGGCGGCGTTCGCGTCGCGTCGGGTTTTCTCCATTCCTTGGGCCCGCTCTCAGCTCCATCTGCTGCTGCAGTTGCTGCTGCTGCGGCCAGCAGCAACATGCTTCTGCCACTGGCCCGCAGCAGCAACAGCAGCAGCAGCATATGGGCAGACGTGCAGCAAACCACGGCCTTGCCAGCGACAGCGGGCCTTGTGGTGGCTGGTGACCACACGGGTTCTGTGAACTTCTACAGCTGGAGGCAGCAGCAGCAGTACGCTGGGTCACCTGTTGCAGCATCAGCTGCACACGCTGCAGCTGATGCTGCACTTTCTACAGCTGCTGTATCTTCTAGCGTTGCTGGCTCTTCCCTGCAGTTGCAGATGCTCGCCAATGTCTGCCTGCCACGCTATCGCAAGGGCCCTCGTGCTGTTGTAGCGGGCGGCAGCAGCAGCGCGACGAACAGGATCATGTCCAGCATTGGTATGCTGTCTGTGTGCTCAAAAAAAGAGTCGAAGGCTTCTGCTGTAATGTCTGTTGTTTATTTGTTGGGAGATGAACACGGGACGCTACATGCGGTGCTGCTGCAAGTCACTGCAGCAGCAGAAGCAACTCCAGCAGAAACTGAGGCTGTGAATCAGCAGCAACAGCAACATCAGCAGCATCAGCAATCCCTGCAGCCCTGCTGGAATTGGGCCTCTTGTCGTGCTGTAGTGCAGCAGCCTCTCAAAGAACTATTCCCTAGGAGACGCGTCTGCGCCCTTAGCTGCTGTCGAGGTTTTACCTTTTGCTGCGGCGGAGACGGTCGGATTCTTATTCTCCAAGTGTCTCTCAGCAGAAGCAACAACAACGGCAGCAGCAGCACCAGTGGGTTGTGGGTGCATCAAGAAGTCATTATACAACAGCTGCATGCGGTAAGAGTATCGCAGATAAGCAACTTTGTTTGTCTCCTTCCCCAGGGGCCTCTGGTAGGCGCGGGGGGACCCTGGCAAGGGGATTCAGGTGCCGCATTACTGCAGCACTTAATGCAGCAGCAGCAGCAGCAAGATGATGGATTTGTGCTGTTGCAACAGCATGTGGCAGTTGGAGTCAGAGGCAGCGAACTATTTGCCTTCTCCTTCACTCAAGGTGCCCCGCTGCTGCAGCTGCCTTGCGGCGACAGCAAGAGGTCTTTTGCTGCAGCAACAAGACAAGGAGAGACTGTCTCCTTTGCCTTCTCAAGAGGTCACTGCGTCTGTCTTTATACCAGCAACAAGAGCAGCACCAGCAGCAGCTGGAACGATGCTCGCTTGCAGCAGCAAGATGACGAAGAAATGCTGCTGCTGCCGCAGCAGCAGCTGCAACGCCGCTGCATCTCCTTCAACCCAAACTACCCTGGAGACGATATCCATGCCGTCTCCTTTTTGTCTCCTTCTGTCATCTGTGCAGCTGCGGAGGACAACACTCTCAGCCTCATTCTGTGGCAGCACTCGCCAGCAGCAACGGCAGCAGCAGCAGCTACAGGAAACCACAAATTGACGGATAGCCTTAGAGTCCTCTCTATCACTACGAGGCACCGCGCGGCCGTTCGAGCGCTTGCGCTGTTGCAGCAGTGGACACCTCAGCAGCAGCAACGGCAACAGCAACAGCAACAGAAGCAGAAGCAACTATACTCGCTGCCTCGTCTTCTCGCCAGCGCCGGGGCGGCGCAGACGTTGAATCTTTTTCAGCTTTCTCCAGCAGCACCAGCAGCCTATGAAATGACCACTGCAACGGCAACGGCAGCAGCTTCAGCAGGGTCAGCAGCAGCTGGAGCAGCAGCACCAGACACCTCGACGGCTTCTGTTGCTGATCCTGCTACAGTTACGCTGGTGCACCTGCAGCAGCTGTGCTTGGAAGACAGAACCGCAAAGGGACCCTCAGCCAATGCGCGGTTTAATACCGCGTGCGGTTTTGTCTGCACGTCGTATCAGCAGCAGCAGCAACAGCAGCAAGTTCAGGCCTACGATGCCTATGTTTTAGTTGGTGTGTCTACAGCTCGTCTGTTGCTGATCCGCTTTCGTATATCCACAGGTTTTGTTGAAGCAGGAGCAGGAGCAGTAACAACATCACCCGCAGCAGCAGTTGCTGCAATGGCGTATGGAGACTCGGAGACATTCCGAGCGGAGGGCCGCCCCACAATTATCTCTTCTTTAAAGTTGCCAGCTGTCCCCTTTTGTTGTCAGCTTATCCGCGTGCCCTCAGGTTCTCCATCAACAGTAGCAACAGCAACAGAAGCAGCAGAAGCAGCAGTAGTGCCAGAAAAAGCTGCTGTTGGTGGCCGAGACAAGGGCCTGATTGTAATGGGGCTGACAGACGGGTCTGTGGCTTTTGCGGAGCTGCAACTGCAGCAGCAGCAACAGCAGCAACGGGAAGGCAACCCTGCAGTATTGCCCGTCGGGGCCCTCAGCACGCATCAGAGAGCAATCACCTCTGTTTGTGTCAAGCTGCTGCAGCAGCAATCCACAGCAACAGCAGCAGCAGCAACAGATGCTTCAGAAGTGGAGGCCTTACGGCTGCTCGTCTGCACCGCAGGAGACGACGATGCGATTGCCGTGCAAGTGCTGTCTCTCATTTCTACTGTAGCACCACCACCAGCAGCAACAGCAGCAGCAACAGCATCAACAGCAGCAGCAGCAGCACCCGGTGGCAGCAGCAGCAGGTGGCGCATGCAATTTGTGAGCCGGGTGCTGCACCCAAATGCTCACAGCTCTTCTGTACGTTCTCTTAGCCTCTGCTGGCCGATCCTCTTCAGCGTAGGATGGGACAGGTGGCTGCAGGCTTGGAAGATATGTAGGAGCAGCAGCAACAGCAACAACACCAACAATAACAACAACAATAACAACAACAACAGGGGCAGCAGCAGCTGTTTAAGCAGTACAGGGCGTGCATGTATGCTCTGTAAGGCATCAAGCAGTGGTGGGTTAATCGGCTGCTGCTGCAGGCCCCCGTTATGTTGCCTCGATACTCCTGGTACTGCTATTGCTGCAGATTCACTCACTGCAGCACAGCAGGACGCCCTTCGCCTAGACGAACAGTTAGCGGTTCTTTGGCGCCGGTGTGGACCACCAGTGCAGCAGCAGCAACAGGAGGAGCATCGGGGGGGCCAAGCAGAGACAGAGACCTTCATGCTGCAGCGACTTGCTGCCGCTAAAACGGGAGTCGCTGAGGCTGCCAGTTTAGCTGCCGTACCTCTTTTAAGCGGGGTGGGGCCCCAGGGTCCCCAAGGATTTACTGTGCGTCTTTGCTGCGCAGGAGCAAGCGGAGGTATTGAAGTATTTGAGCTGCACACGACAGCCACACCTAAGGCCATTCAAACGAAAAAGTAGCTAGCTACCTGCATGGCTAGCTAACTGGGTAGCTAACTGGGAAGGTACCTACCCACCGTGCTGGGGCAGCTAGATGCGTCGCTAGCTGCTTGGCTAGCTGGGTAGTTAGCTCCGCGACTAGCGGCGCGCCTATCTGGATGGTTAGCCGCATCGGCAGGCATTTGACGCCGAGCTGGCGGCACCACTGATTGTCTTATCCTTATTTTCCCAACTAGCTATGGCTAGATGTAGGCTGTAGAGGGGCGCTAGCGGAGAGAGGGAGCGTAGCTATTTACTGTTGATGCAAGCCTGCCACTCTATACCTAGCAGGCTACCGAACTGCCTAGCCACTTTGCCAGCCAGCTAGCAAGCCAGCTAGTCTGTTGAGCAATGAGCTAGCCGCCAGATCGAATGTCTGGAGCCCTGCCTAACTGCCTCACCTCCGCCACTCTATGCCCGCTTGCCAGCTAGCTAGCTTGCTAATTGGCCCCGACTAGATGGCTAGCGGGGAGGGCAGCTAGATACCCATGCCCATACTAAGTGTACTGCCTGTCTTGTCTCCTCCGCGCAGCTGCAGCACTGCTGGTCCCTTGGATCGTTTCAGTCCTTTACAGCCTCAACAGCACAGCAGCAACGCCAACTGCTGCTGCAGTCCCATTGCTGCTGCTGCTGGTTGGGGTAGTTGAAGCATGCTGCAGCAACGGCAGTTGCCGGAGTGCCAGCACCAAGGAGCACAAGCACTAGCTGCAGCAGCAGTAGCTGCAGCAGCAGTAGCTGCAGCAGCAGTAGCTGCAGCAGCAGTAGCTGCAGCAGCAATATCAGCAGTGAAGGGTGTAGCAGCCATAGCAGCAATAGTGGATGCAGCAGCCATAACAGCAGTAGTGGGTGCAGCAGCAATAGCAGCAGTAGTGGATGCAACAGCCATAGCAGTACCCGTATCGGTAGCACTCACAGCAGCAGTAGTAGTAACCGCAGTATCAGGAGCAGTAGCAGCAGCAACTACAGCTGGAGCACCAGCAATGGTAGCAGTAGAAGCAGCAGGGGTGGAGGTAGCAGTAGCAGCAGAAACTTGCGGGTCACCTGCAAGGAAAATTATACAAGATATTTTTAGCAGCATTTCCATCATGAAGAGCAGCAACGGAAGCAGCAACAGAAGCAGCACCAGCAGCAAGCCTCAACAGTGGGCCCCAGCCCGAGCAGCAGCAGCAGCATGAGCAGCAACAACAACAACAACGCATTAATTGCAGAACTGTTTTTCTTCCTTTGAGTTTATCTTTGATCCTTCTTGTAAAGACAGAAGCACTTTAGGAATTTGACCTAGTCGCCACTGTTGCAGCAGCAGCTGCAGCAGCTGCTGTTGCTGCTGCACGAGTTGGTCGCTGCTGTTGCAGACCTGCTGCGTCTGAGAGGCATAGCGGCGGGGTTTATTTAATCGTTTCAGTCTGACAGCCTTTCTGTGTGTGTCTTGAGACTCTCCAGACACAAGCAGCAGCAGGAGCAGCAGCAGCAGCAACTTGAGTCGTAGCAGCAGCAGCGCGTGCTCTCCCGTTTATGTTTTAGTCTTTCCCCGCTGCAGGCAGCCTTTTTGTTATCTAGACAGATAGCAGCATCGGCAACTGCGGCAGAGACAAAGCAGTATCACCGAGCCTTTGCCAGCGTCCCTACATTAACCACAACGACTACCACCACCTGCAACACCTGCAAGAGCAGCAGCAGCAGCAGCAACAACAACAACAACAACAACAACAACAGCAGCAGCAGCAAGACCAATGGTCACTTGTCAAGGCTGTGGTGAGAGCACCACCTCACGTTTGTGCTGCCCCAGTTGTACGGAGGCAGGAAGGACTTCTTTCTTTTGTTCACAAAAATGTTTTAATGTCTCATGGGCATCCCACAACAAGCTGCATGCAGTGCTGCAGCGGGGACAACCCCGTACTGCTGCAGCAAGCAGCAGCAGCAGCAGTAGTAGCAGCAGCAGCAGCACCCCCGGTGGTGTTTGTCAGGAAACGTACGGCAACAAACGCAGTGCAGATGACAGTCCAGGGACAATCAGCCCACTAACACAAACGGACAACAACAGCAGCAGCGGCAGTAGCAGCAGCAGCAACGACAATAGCAACAGCAGCAGCGGCAGAATAGGCTCGGATAACGAGCTCGATCCGGGCCAGGCAGCAGCACCAGCAGCAGCACCAGCAGCAACAGCGCTGCCGGTGGTGCCTTCTCGCGCTTCTCGGGGTCTTGGGATAATACAAGCTAGGGGTATTACGCGCAGCAGCAACAGTAGCAACAGCAGCACAAACAGCAGCAGCAGCACAAGCAGCAGCAGCAGTAGCCCGTCGAAGGCACTAAGCAGTGGCTTCGTTTCTCGCTTTCTTCCTGGCAGCAGGAGGCCTATAGAAATTCCTTTGCACGCGAAGGGAGAAAGGAAGACAACAGCAGCAGCAGCAGCAGCAAGGTTCCGTTCTTCATCAGCAGCAGGAAACCAGGGTGGTCCTGCTACTGGTGTGTGTCCTCGCTTCATTTTCTTGCTGCTGCTGCTGTTGTGTCTCTTATGCTACATGGCAGTAGCGGGTCTCCTCTCTAGTCTAACAGGGGGCCTTGTGGGGACCCCTCCTCCTCCTTTGCTGCAGCAAGAAGCAGCAGCAGCAGCAGCAGCAGCAGCACCGGATCTGCAGGCTACTAGGGATGCCCTATTAGAGATTAGAGATAAATTAGCAGCACTAGAAGGCCTTGTTAGGGAACATGATGCCCTTCTTGATGTTATAGCACCTCCTGTCTCTCCTGCTGCTTCTGCTGCTGCTGCTGCTGCTGCTTCGCGCATGCAGAGGGCACCAGGGGTCCTAGGGGACAGCGTAGCGACCCACAAGGCACCTGGGTTGGCTGCTCCGGGTGACCCTTCTGCTGCTGCTGCTGCTGCTGCGGCAGCAGCAAGAGCACAGCCTCTGCTTCTTGTTCTGAAGAAAGCCCGCGAAGCAGCAGCAGCAGCAGCAGCAGAAGAGGAGGCAACAGCTGCCAGTCGGCCTGCTGCTCCGCAGCTCACGCAGCGGTCGTATGCTGCAGATGTGGGGACAGAGTTTTCGAGTGCGGCAGCAGCAGGAGCAGCAGCAAACATCGCTCAGCAGCTTGAGCAGCAGCAGCAAGACATGCCAGAAGAGACACAAGGAGGGAAGAGGGAGGAGATCGTTTTCCCCAGCCCAACGGTGTACTCAGCAGCAGCAGATGATACAACAGCAGCAGATGCAGCAGCAGATACAGCAGAAGCAGCAGCAGCAGCAGCACAAGAGGAGGCAGCAGGGCTTGAGGCGTCTCCTGGTCTTAGCGGCCCAATGCGCAACAAAAGAAGCAAAAAATGGCAAAGTGGAGGAATTACTTAAAAGGAGACAAATAAATAAAAAGGGGACACTTTTAAATAAAAGGAGACAATTAAATAAAAAGGAGACAATTAAATAGAAAGGAGACAATTAAATAAAAAGGACACACTCTATCATTAAATAAGACACCATTATATTTATTTTGTAGGCACAGACACAGCCACAGCAGCAACAGACACCTCGCTGCAGCGGCAAAAAGCAGATGCAGCAGCAGCAGCTAGTGCTGTGGTGCTATAGCTTTGCATCAGCTGCAACGTTTGCAGCAGCAGCTGCAGCAGCAGCAGCGCTGCAGTAGCATTTTTCTGGTCTTACCAGGGGGAATTGTTACACAGAACTACCTCTCATTGAGAAATGTCGTGTTGTTGCTGTTGTTGCTGCTACTGTTGTTGCTAGTACTAGTGCTGCTGCTGTTGCTGTTATTGGTGCTGCTACTAGTGCTGCTACTTTTCTTGATGCTTTTGCTGCTGGGGGAAGACTAAAGAGGCGGATAGCCGCAGCTGCACCTCTTCGATTCAGCAGCAGCAATGTACGGGTGGCGGGTGTATAGGCAGCTCTTAGGGTTTGATAGCTGCAGCAGCAGTTTTTGCCTTTGATGCAACAGCAGTATTTGTTGTTGTTGCTGCAGCAGTATTGATTGTTACTAGACCAACAACATTTAGCTGCTGCAGCTGCCGTCTCTGTATCGTCGTATGGCTACTACCGCAGGGGCAGTCCGGTTCTCTGCTGCAGCAGCTGCTGCAGCTACAGCGGCAGTTGCTGCAACAGTTGCTGCAGGGCCTGCTTCTGTGAAGCCAAAAGTTGTGTTTTTCGAGGGTTTAGCGTTTAGGGTTTAGGGTTTATGCCTGTGCTTGACGGCCGCCTCCTCCCCCCAAGGTCACCGCAGGTCAGAGGCCGGGGTATATAGTTGAGGTGTACGTACACCTGAGTTCTGCTGTGGCAGCAGCACTTATTTGTACTTGTTTTCCTTTGTTTTCTTAACAATTTCTTGGATGCAACAAAGAGGAGAACAACTGCTTCGGCTGGGGCGCTTCAAGCGCAGCTGCTAGACTCGCTGTGGCTGCTGCTGCTGCGGCAGCTGCAGCAGACCCGTTGCTGCTGATGCTGCCGCAGCTGCTGTACAGCTGACTGGACGCTTCGAGTGGGTTCTGCTGCCTTTATCTCATTTAAGCAATACAAAAATAACCTACCACGTGAGCAGCGTCGCCAAGAGACCCGCAGCAGCAACAGCAGCAGCAGCGGCCGCAGCGGCGGCTGCAGCTGCTGCAGTTGCTGCTGCGAGCAGCAGTATCATCCACCTCCGTGCTTTTGATAAGGCACACGTGGTCCTCTGGATGTAACTCTGTCTTTCCTGCTGCAGCAACGGCATTCGCTGGCGCAGCAGCAGCAGCAGCAGCCGCAGCAGTTGCTGCAGCCGCAACCGCTGCTCTCGTGAAGGCACCGACCTTTGACCCATCAAGGATTGCCCATTCGGTGGGGTGTATAGACAGCAGAGTTGCAGCTGGTGGAGGTGGAGGAGGAGAAAGAGTAGCAGCAGCTGCAGCAGCAGCAGTAGGCGCAGCAGCTGCAGGGGTTGCAGCAGCAACTGCTGCTGCATCTCACTTGTTGCCGGTGTTGGGCATATTTCCTTAGGGTGTATCAACGTAGGGTATCTGCGTCTGCCAGCAAGGCAGCAGCAGCAACAGCAGCAGCTGCTGCAGCATCGAACACAGGACTGTGGCGAAGGTATTAACGGAAAACTGCGGAATAAAAGCAGCAGCAGCAGCAGCAGCAGCGAACGTAGCAGCAGCAGCAGCAGCAGCGAACGCAGCAGCAGGATTAATATTGATCTAAGTGTATTTATATGTATATACACCGCATAAGCGGGGTTAATATTCTTGTGGATTATTTTGCTGTATATCTTAACAACAGGTGCAACTGTTTTATAATCAAGAACAGCAGCAGCAGCAGCAACAGTAGCTGCATTGTTAAGTATTAGGATTAGCACTAGAAGGATAATAAACATTAGCAGCAACAGCAGCAGCAGAATAAGCAGCAGCAGCAGAATAAGCAGCAGCAACAGAATTATTTGCAGCAGCAGAACATCCGCAGCAGCAGAATATCCGCAGCAGCAGATACCGAATCAGCAGCAGCATTAGAATAATAATAACCGTTTGCGTCAGCATCAGTAGCATAATAATAATAATACCATTTAGCAGCAGCACGAGCAGCAGCATAATAATAACTAGGAGCAGGAGCAGCAGCAGCAGCAGGAGCAGCAGGAGCATTATACCCATAATCATCATCGTCATTATCATAACCATAATAATAATAATCATCATCATCACCAGCTCCTCCTAACAACCATCATAATACTCATAAACAGCAGCTGCATAAGCAGCATCAACAGCATAAACAGCATTAACAACAACAACAACAACAGCAGCAGGAGCAGCAGGAGCAGCAGCAGGAGCAGCAGCAGGAGCAGCAGAAATAGGAACAGTCTTAAGAAAATGGGGGGACAAGGTAGTCGATACGCTCTAGCTGGCACTTCAAATTTATATCGCGAAAATTTAAAAAATTATTTAAAAAAATTCGACGCAGACGAAATTGAAGTCCTTAAAAATGTCTATAAAATTCTTGTACTCAGGAGTGATGCACCTGGTACTTTTTATACTAGTTCTTCCCCCTTTTTTTTTATTTTTGTGCTTTTTATTATGTTTTATTGTAGATTATTGTAGTTTATTGTAGTTTATTTTATTATCACCTTTATTTTAATGTTATTAGTGGTAAAAAAGACTATAAAAGTCTTGCAGGAGCGATGCATCCGGTATATATTTGTGTACTCATATTTTTTTTTATAGTTTATTTTTGTACATTTTAGTAGTATTTATATTTAGTACATTTTATTATGATTCTTTTTATGTCTTATATTGTCTTATTGTTTATTATATATTATTATATTTTATTTTATTTTGTTGCTCTTATTTTTATGTGTATATATATAATATATAATAGTTTATTGGAATAATTTGCCTCCTTATCCTTTTATTCTATTTTTTATTAGAGTTACTGCTGCTGCTGCTGCTGCTGCTGCTGCTGGTTGTTTATAGGGATCGACAAGGAGACTTTCCTGCGGTATTTCCCGCTGCCGGGGTTATGGGGCGAGAGGCTCTTCCAGAAGTTCGACTACAAAGGTCTGCTGCTGCTGTTGCTGCTGCTGCTGCTGCAGCTGGTGTTGCTGATGGTTATTATTATTATGCTGCTGCTGCTGCTGATTATTATTATTATTATAATGCTGCTGTTAGTACAGTTGCTGTCTTGGGTTGTGCTGCAGGTACCGGCAGTGTTGACTTGGAGGAATTCCTCATCGGCATTGCTGTTTGCTGCAGAGGCACGAAGAGCGACCGCATGTTTGTGTTGTTTCAGGTTAGTGTTTAGGGTTTAGGGTTTAGGGTTTAGGGTTTAGGGTTTGTACCACGCGACTTATTACCCCACATGATTTCCTAAAAGACAACACAGTTCTGTACTTGGCGAGCCTGTTCCTCCTCTTATGCTCCTTCCATTGCTGCTGCTGCTGCTGCTGCTGCTGCTGTTGCTGCTGCTGCTGCTGCAGGTGTTCGACTTGAACAACGATGGATATATTCAAAAGAGCGAGTTGATTGCCATGTTGTCGAATTTACCGAACTTGGAGAATTATATTTCTGCAAGACCCTCAGACCCTGCAGCAGAGGAGCAGCAGCAGCAGGCGTCTATCCATGACCCGGATGAGCAGCAGCAGCAGCAGCACCAAGAAGCAAGCTGGACACAAGTCAGTAGCAGGGAAGGACTCGATCCTGTAGAGGAGGAGTCTGACAGCAGCGAAGCTTCAAGTGTCTCCGACTTGTCCGTAGGGCCCCTTCCGTACCCTGCTGCTGCTGCTGCTGCACAAGCAGCAGCAGCTGCCGCGGCAGCAGCAGAAACCGCAGCAGCAGCAGCGGCAGGAGCTGCAGCGGCTGGCGCAGTGGCGGCAGGAGCTTCAGAGGCAGGAGCTGCTGCAGCTGCAGTAGGAGCTGCAGCAGGTGCTGCTGCTGGAGTCGCAGCAGCAGCAGCAGCACCAGCTCCTGCCAATGTTCTGCCTACGAAGGACATAGACGTGGACTGTCTTACCCCTGGTGCAGCAGCAACACCACCTGCAGCAGCAACAGCACTACCAGCAGCAGCAACAACAGCAGCAGCAGCACCAGAGAGTGCTCCAGCAGCAGCTGCTGCTACACCCCTTCTAACCGCAGCGGGTTGCAGCGTATCTTTGACAGCTCCAGAGTGCGATGCACTGCAGCAGCAGCAGCAGCAACAACAACAACAGCCACAACCACAGCAACTGCCACAGCAGCAGCAGCAGGTGGAGGGGGTGGAAGCTGGGGAGGCAGAGGTAGAGGGAGGAGTCCCTGTTGATGATGGAGAGAGCAGTCTCCTTTCTGCAGCAAGCTGCAGCAGCAAAGCAAAAAAGAATCCATCTCCTGTTGCGCAGTTGCTTATTGATATTGAGAAGCAGCAGCAACTAGGCAGCAACCAACAACCTGCTGTTGATGTTGAATGTGTTGCGGATAAAATCATTGAAGAATGCGAAGTAAACAACACTGCTGCTTCTGCTGCTGCTGCTGCTGCAGTTGCAGCATGGTTGGCTGCTGCTTTTGCTGTAGGGGTTGCTGTCGTTGCATCATCGTCATTGTTGCTGCTGTTCCTGCTGTCTGACCTGGCATAATCTCTGTTCTTGGTGTTCTTGCTGCTGCTGCTGCTGCTGCTGCTCTTGCTGCTGCTGCTGCAGTTCGTGGAGCACGGTCGTCTATCCTTCCCTGAGTTTAAGACATGGCTAGAACATCATCCAGGTATATTATCAATGTTTACCGCCTGTCTCCATGAGGAGGTGTGGGGTCTGCAAGGAAATGCCCTATATAGATCTGCATCAGCACCTAGGTAAGAATCGTAATATATAGGTCTCCTAGTCTTTATCTCCTCTCCTGCTGTCTCCCTTGTATTATCCCTTCTTCTCCCTTTGTTACCATATCATTGGTGCTGCTGTTGCTGTTGCTGCTCGTGCTGCAGGGGAAACAAGGGCGTCTTGAGGATGGGATCGGGAGAGGGTAAAGACAACAAGGGAACGAGAAATGGAGGAATTCGGCAGGACCAATTCCAGAAGGTACTGCTGCTTCTGCTGTTGCTGTTGCTGCTGCTGCTGCTGCAGCTGTTGCAGGAAGCTGTTTGTTTTGCCCGTTCCAGCCTCGCCTTTGTGCACCCAGAACAGTCCGTGTTGCTGCGGTTGTTGCTGCAGGTGCGGCGGCTGTTTACTGGACACCACGGGGGAATGCCGCTGCAGTCACGCGTTGTGTCTCCTGCAAGCAAGGAGCCAGCTGCTGCTGCTTCAGGTCCTAGATCGTCTCTTCTTTCTCCTGGAGACAGAGGGAAGGGATCCGCGAATCTTGCGGCCCCTGCAACTGCAGCAGGACTTACCAGCACGGCGGGCTCACTCACTCCCGTAGGGGGAGACACAGCTGGAGCAACTCCCGCTGCTGCTGCTAATGCAAATCCTGGTGCTGTTGCGGGATCGCTCAAGGCAGCGGCTGCTGCGGCGGCAGCAGCTGCTGCAGCAGCGGGGGTTGCAGCAGCAACAACAGCAACAGCCAGACCTCCTGCAGATGAGGCTCGCACACAGCAGCAGCAACAAGGCGCAGCAGCAGCTCCTCAGCAGCAGGCAACGGGCCCGGCTGCTGCCGCCAAGCAGGGAGAAGCAGCAGTAGCACCAACAACAGCAGCACCAACTGCAACAGCAGCAGCTGCACCAGCAGGTGCAACAACAACTCCGCCCCAACAATACAATCCCGTAGAGGCAGCAGGAACCCCGGCAGCACCAACTGCCGCACCACCTGCAGCAACAGGACAAACAGGACAAAGTGCATCAGCAGCATCACCACCTGCATCAGCAGCAGCCCCTTCAGCGACAGCCCCTACAGCAGCAACGCCAGCAGCAGCAACACCAGCAGCGGCAGCAGCCCCTGCAGTATCGCAAGCGGCAGCACCTCCAGCAGCAACAGGACCTCCAGCAGGAACAACACCTCCAGCAGGAACACCTCCAGCAGCAACTGTACCTACAACAGCAGGAGCACCTCCGGCAGCAGCGCCAGCAGCAGCAGTAACACCATCCCCTGCAGCGCCAGAAGCTTCACCAAGAGCCCCATCAGTAGCACCAGCCGCCACAGCAGGAGGAGCTGCGGTGTCAACTGTTCCAGGGACAGCAGCAGCGCCAGCAGCCACAGCTCCTGCACCAGCAGCCCCAGCAGCAGCAGCCCCTGCTGCTGCTGGAGCAGCAGCTGGAGGCACTCAGTGCATCTCTTTACCTGCTGTGTCTCGCGGCGCTGCTCCGGGGGCAAAGCTTGGGGAGCGGACAGGGGTTGCAGCAGCATCCGCTGCAGCAGCAGCATCCGCTGCAGCAGCAGCAGCAGCGGCGTCAGCAGCAGCAGCAGCAGCGTCAGCAGCTGCAGCAGCTGCCGCTGTATCAGCAGCTGCAACCCCAGCAGCAGCAGCAACTCCAGGAGCAGCAGTAACCCCAGCAGCAGCAACAACACCAGGAGCAGCAACTCCAGCAGCAGCACCACCAGCAGCAGCACCACCAGCAGCAGCACTGCCAGCAGCAGCACCGCCAGCAGCAGCACCACCAGCAGCAGCACCACCAGCAGCAGCACCACCAGCAGCAGCGCAGCCTGCAGCAGCACAGCCTGCAGCAGCACAACCTGCAGCAGCACAACCAGCAACAGCACAACCAGCAACAGCACAACCAGCAACAGCACAACCAGCAGTAGCACAGCCGGCAGCTGCAGCAGGGAGCAGCAGCAGAAACCTTGGCGTGCTACCTGTTAAGGTTTGTGACTTTGATAGATCGTTGAGACCTGATTTGGATGTGCATTTGCTGCTGAAGGGTCAGCCAACCCCGCTGCATCCCCGACAGCAGCAGCAGCAGCAACAACAACAGCAGCAGCAGCAAGGGGACGGAGATGGGGAGAGCCCCGCATATGTCTCCGACTGTGGGGCGGAGTTGGGGGCCCTCCCTTCTGTTGCTTCTCTGTCGGGTACTTTAGGGTCTTTGATTCGTGAGCATGCAGCAAAAGAAGCAGGAGGAGGAGCAGCAGAACCAGCAGCAGCAGACGAGCAAGATCTACACTCTTGCCCTAAGTGTCACAGGCCGCTGCTGCTGTGTCCGGAGTGCCTAGGCAGGTCCTTACAGCTGACGTTGCTGCATGGGAAGGTTGTGCTTGAGTGTACTAACTGCAGCAGCCAGCAAGAATCAGCAGTAGCAGCAGCACCAACAACAGCAACACCAGCAACCCAGACAAATCCCGGTCCATCAGGAGCAGCAGCAACAGCAGCAGCAGCAGCAGATGCGAATGCTGGTGCTCCCCACAAGGCCCCCGACTATCAACAGTCTGATTCTATAGATTGTACTGCAACAACGGATTCGCCTGCAGCTGCATCAGCATGTGCGAGCAAACCGAGCATGAGCAGCAGTAGCAACATAAGTAGCAGCACTACCGTTGGTAGTGTCCCTGCATCATCATCATCATCATCATCATCATCATCATCATCTGCTGCATCTGCTGCTGCAGCAGCAACAACAACAACAACAACAGCAGCAGCAGCAGCAGCAGCAGGTGGTGGTAGTCGTGGAGTCTATACACATTGCTGGGAGTGCAATTTCGATTTCAGTCGAAGCGTCGAATTATTATCAAATGGTGAAACTTCTTTAGATGGTGTCCTCTTAAAAAAAGGAAAACATTTACATCAATGGCAAGCTAGATTCTATGTACTTATTGATAATATGTTATATTACTACAAAAAAAAGGTACAACTATAATATAAATACAGCAGATACTGCAACAATTGCAGCAATAAGAGCACCAGCACCAGCACCAGCACCAGCACCAGTAGCAGCAGGGGCGAGAAATGACCTGAGAGAGAGAGAGATAACCAGACCCCAATTAGCGATTGTACCATACATACAAACACTTACCTGTCTAAACCCTAAATTAGGGTTTAGGGTCTAGGGTTTAGTGTTTTGTTCGCAGGGAGACGCCAAACCACGAGGCTTTATGTTCTTAGAAGGTTGCTTCGTGGAGACGATCCCCGATGCAGGAGCGTTGCGTCCTCATGGGATCGCCATTGTCTACCCCAGAGGGGATTCCGTTGCTAGGAGAGTCTTATACGCACAGACTGCAGAGGTACTTGCTGCTGCTGCTGCTGTTGCTGTTGGGGTGCTGCTGCGAGTGTGCTGTTGCTGCTGCGTTTGCTGCAGCGGCTCGTTGTATTGGTTGCTAGCTGTAGTGCTTGGCTCTGTTGTTATTTGCTGCTGCTGTTGTTGCTGCTGCTGTTGCTTCTGCAGGAACAGCAGCAGTGGGTAGATGCGCTGCGGGCATCAACTCGCCAGCAGTCTCTGGAGCATTTCTACGAAGTCCACGAACAATTGGGTCAAGGTAATCCTCTATTAAGCCCACAGACCCTCTGAGCTAGCTAGCTGGATGTCTAGCTGGCCAGCTAGCTAGCTGTTGCCGCTGTTCCCTGGTCCACGTTCCACCTGGCTGGCTAGCTAGCTAGCTAGCTACTAGTTTTGTCTTGTGTGTGACTCTGTTACAGGGAAGTTTAGTGTAGTGTATAGGGGTGTGCATAAGAAGACAGGAGAAGAAGTAGCAATAAAAGTAATAGATAAAGGAAAAATAAATCGTCATGAAAAAGAATTGCTGCGTAGCGAGATGGTTATATTGAGGCTTCTTAACCATCCTAACGTTATTCGCCTCAAGGCAAGCCCTCACCCCATCTCTTTATCTTGCTGCTGCTGCTGCTGCTGCTGCTGCTGAGGAGAGGGTTTCTGCTGCTCGTGCTGCTGCTGCTGCTGCTAGTTCTGCTTCGGCTGCTACTGGTGCAGCAAGAAGATTTCTTGTTTGTGTATATATATGTGGGGTGTAGGAGATGGTCGATACAAAGGAGACACTTTATATCGTCATGGAGCTTGTTAGAGGAGGAGAACTATTTGATCTTATACACGCCAATCACCATCTCCCCGAAGTTCATGTCAACAGGTCTGCTGCTGCTGCTGCTGCTGTTGCTGCTGCTGCTGCTGCTATTCTATCGTTTCTCTTTCTTTATTTGTATTTCTTTACATAATATATTATATATCTAATTGTCTTTCTTTTTTTCCTTTTTTTTCTTTTATTTGTATACAGGATAGTATCTCAATTACTATCTACTGTATATTATCTACATAAGAGTGGTATAATTCATCGGGACCTTAAACCTGAAAATATTCTTTTATCGGACAAGACAGAAAATGCAACAATAAAACTTGCAGATTTTGGTCTTTCTACTCTTTGCGCACCTAATGAATTCTTACATCAACCCTGCGGAACACTAGCGTACGTAACTCATGCTGCTGCTGTTGTTGCTCCTGCTGCTGGTGCTGTTGGTGGTGGTGGTGTTGGTGGGGTTGCTGCTGCTGGTGTTCCAGATCCATGTCTTAGTCTTATTCAAGGGTTTAGGAAAGTTAGGGCTTAGAAAAATTAGGGTTTAGGGTTTAGGGTTTGTGTGTTACAGGTACGTGGCACCTGAGGTTTTATCTCTTGAGGGTTACAACCAGCAAGCAGATCTATGGTCTGTTGGTGTTATAACTTATCTTCTTCTTCGTGGTCGATTGCCTTTCCCTATTAATAAACACTTGGGCTCCCCGCACTTCCATCAGGTTCGCACAAACCGTAAACCCTAAACCCTAATTTTTCAAAACCCTAATTTTCTTCCCCAAACCACCAAAGAAACTCGAATGCTGAAGGCCACAACACAAGGGTTTATTGATTGCAGTTTCTTCCATGCATGCTGCTATTACTGCCATTACTTACGTTACTTTTGCTGCTGCTGCTGTTGTTGCATGCAGACATATCCGTTATCTTTTGACGGTCCTCTATGGCGTCCAGTTAGCAGCAGCGCGAAGGATTTAATATACAGAATGTTATCTCCTAATCCTCAGCAACGAATAACAGTAGAGGAGGCGCTGCAGCATATTTGGATAAAAAACCCAACAGCAGTTATAAATGAAGCAAATAAAACAGATCCATTTGATCATATCAGTAAGTTACTCATTAACCTCCTCCTCTCCTCCTGCTGCTGCTGCTACTGGTGCTGGTGCTGCTGCTCTTGGTGCGGATACTGCTGCTGCTGGTCGTGCTGCTGCAGACCAGGTTACGGTGCTGCTGGTAGTTTGGCTCATGACGCTGCGGTGTATTAGGCTTCTGCTGCCTACTTGGATGCTACTGCTGCATTAGACTTGTTGCTGCTGCTGGGGTGCTACTGCTGAGCAGAAGGGTGGGTGCGCCGTCAAGCCTTAGTGGGGTCTTTGGCTTCGCTGACGCTGCTGCTGCTCCTGTTGCTGCTGCTGCTGCTGTGCTTACAGATCCCACTGTGCAGCCAATAGATCCGCATGCACTTGCTGCTGCAGATGGGGCTTCCACTTTCACGATCCCCAACCAACACAACAGGCTAGCGCAGCAGCGAGCGCAGCAGCAGCAAGCTAAGACTGCTGCTGCCCCTGCGGCAGCCGCTGCTGCCCCGGCAGCAACAGCAGCCGCTGCTGCCGCTCCTGCGGCCGTTAAAGCAGCAACGGAAGCACATGAAAAAGATCAACCAGGAACTGCAGTTACAGATAACACAAAGCTTGCTGCAACAGTGGCAGCAACTGCAGCAACAGCAGCAACGCATGGAGCTCTCAATGCAGCTAGCGCAAACAGCGCCTTGATCCAATCAGCAGCACAAGCAGCAGTTGCTGCTGCTGCAACACCAGACACTGGGAAGGCTGCGGCTCCAGCAGGACAGCCAGCAGCAGCAGAGGAGAGTGGCAAGACAAAACAAACGCAGACAGCGCAACAGCAAGCAGCAGCAGCAGCAGCAGCAGTAGCAGTAGCAATAGGAGAGCAGCACGAAACACCTGCTGCCGATAGGCATCCTCCAGCAGCTGCGGCTCCCGCAGCTGGCGTTGCTGCGGAAACCGCAGCAACTGCAAAGGAGACAGCGAAAGCAGCAGCAGCAGCAGCTCACTCAGCAGCAGCTGTGGCTCAGGCTGCTGCTGCTGCTGCCGCGCTGCATGCAGCAGCAACAGACGAAGCCTTTGCTGCAGTGCAGCGGGGGCCTAGCGGAGATAGTATGGGGAGAAAATCCCACCCACCGGAGCAGCAACAGCAGCAGCAACAGCCACAACAGCAGCAGGTTGGAGGCGTGTCCCCAGCTCGTGCAGCAGCAGCTCCACTAGCAGCTCCGGCGAACGCCGGGGCCACAGCACACCCAAGCGCAGCAGCGGCAGCGGCGGCGGCAGCAGCAGCAGCAGCGACAGCAACAGCACTGCCAACGGCAACAGCTGGAGCACCAGCACCTGCAGCAACAGCAGCAACGGCAGCAACAGCAGCAACGGCAACAGCAGTAGCAACAGCAGCAGCAGCACCTACGCAGTCGAATGCTGCTGCTGCTAGTCCATCCCCCCAAACGACCAAGAAGGCAGACACCTGAATTTTTGCAGGTGTTTTAACAGCTGCTGCTGCTCTGCAGCAGCAGCAGCAGCCGCTGCTGCTGCCACTTGCAAGGGATGAAAGTATTTGCCCTCCTGCTTCCTTGCGCAGTATCTCGCGCTAGGGTTTAGGGTTTTCATTTGCAGTCATTTGCAGTCAAGGGCTTAGAGTTTATATTATAAAGTTGTGGACTTAACTCTTTAAGGGGCTAATGCTTACTGTCTAGGGTTTAGGGTTTAAGGATCTAGGGTTTAGGGTTTAGGGCCAAAGGTTTTAGGGTTTAAGGATCAAAGGTTTACACTTGAGTCAAGGGTCTAGGTCTAAGGTTCTAGGGTTTACCCTCTACGGTCAAGGGTTTAGAGTTTAGGCATCTAGGGCGTATAGTCTAGATTCACTGGTCTAGGGTTTAAGGACCTAGGGTGTATAGTCAAGAATCAAGGGTTTAGGGTTTAGGGTTTACAGCCTCCACATGGGGAGGAAGGCATATACATATTAGGGTAACAGTTGTTTTAAGGTGGCTGCATGCAGCAGCAGACTCCCGCTGCAGCAGTAAACTCTAGCTGCAGCAGCAGCCTCCCGCTGCAGCAGCACATACTCTAGCTGCGGCAACAAACTCTCGCTGCAGCAGCAGACTCTGGCTGCATGCCACTAGAGATCATCATCATCATCATCATCATCATCATCATCATAATCAATATCATCATCAGTATCATCATCATCAGCAGCAGCAGCAGCAGCAGGAGCAGCAGCAGCAGCAGCAGCAGCAGCAGCAGGATCTGAAGGAATATCTTTAATTCTAAAGACAATTCTTCCTTCTTGTGGCGCGAGAGGATTTGCCTGAATAACGACGAAGTCGTAGAGGTGTACGTACACCCGATTAATACGTAATTTGCCACTAAGAGAGCACATAACCATTATATCTTTTAATGCCCCTGTTGCCTCTAAATTGTCACCAAATACAGGACCAAGTCCTGCTGCTCTTGCTGCTGTTGCTGCTGCTGCCTCCAATTGTACCTTAAAACGACCTCCAGGGAGACATGCTACTACACGACCTGCAAGGTTCAGACAATCCTTCTCCCTCCCGCTCCTGCTGCTGCTCCCGCTGCTGCTGCTGCTGTTGTTGCTGCTGTCAGACCTTTGCTGCTCCCGCTGTCTCCGTTTGGATGCACCCCTAGTGGAGCCACGGGCCCCACCTTTGGCAGACAATGGACTCAAAAGACTACGGAGGCCCCTAGGGCTTCCCTCCGTAGGGACCCCCAAGGAGCCCAGGGGATCCTGGAGCCTCTGGACCCCTATGGTACCCCGCCAATTTGCTTTGAGGTGGAGAGGGCTCGCAGCCAGACTGTAGGGGATTATGGGCCCACAGGGGGAGGCCACCTGCTGGGGACCTCCAAAAGTATTTAAAAATGTCAAGGGGGCCCCCTTCCACTGTTTCGCCTTGCGTTTTACAGAGCCAACAGAGGGTAAGGGGGGGCCCTTTGGGTACTGTTGCAGACGGGCCCCCCATGTGGGGGGTGTTTGCAGCAGATGCAGGGCATGCGAGGAGGGGACGCTGGTAAAAAAGAGGCAAATAACCCAAAGTTTAACTATTAGCCACAGATATCCAACCCCGACAAGGGGGCCCCCCATGATGGTGTTAGGGGGCCCCCGGGCAACATGCGGGTATTTTCCTCTGAGAGCTGCGAACTTTAATCACAATTTCATATTATAATTAAATATAATAATTAATTATTCTTTAATTCTTTTGGTATATTGAAGATCAATGCAGTCTGCTGCTCTCTTGCCGTTACTCAACGGGGGGCCCCCAAACGATCGAGAGCGGGCAGGGGGCCCCCAAGACATAAGAGCAAGCGGCCCCCCTATAGTCTAAAGGTTCGGCTAAACCCCAAACCCTAGACCGTATACCCTAAACCCTAAACCCTAAACAATAAACCATGTGCACTAAAGCTCAAGCCCGCAGGCTAAAGCTTCCATAACAGTGTGCGTGATCCTATACAGTGCAGCACAAGATGTGTAGACTACCCTAAACCCTAAGCCCCAAACCCTCACGTGTGTTGGCAATATATCCTACGGACAGTTCGAATTAAAGCATCTAAGAGAATAAGAGCCTTAGTGTATATAATGTGTCTATTTCTACATATATATTCTGTGTATACTCCTGTAGTACAAAACAATTGCCATAGTTGTATTATAATACAAAATGTGTTAATTATTTATTGGGCATGCAATAGATGATGGTGTACACCTGTGTGTTTTACAACTAAAAATATAAAAACCCTCTGTTGTCCTACAACCCGAATATAAATGTCCGTCTAGCTAGCTATAGCTAGCTATAGCTAGCTATAGCTAGCTATAGGCGGTTTCTCTTACGGCTAGTTGGATATTCATAGGGTACTTTGTACCGCATTGGTTTCTGCTTATCTGCCGGAGGCATTGAGCACTGTAGCAGCAGAACCAGCAGCGGCTGTAGTGCTGCTGCCGTTGCTGCTGCTGCTGCTACTGCTGTATGGGGAGTAGACAGCCGCTGCTGGGTGCTGCTCTGCAGCAAGAAGAGAAAAAGTGCATGCATTGGTATAAAAAGGAGACATCAATTGTGTTGACAAGAGACACAGGGAGAGACAAAGACAGTAAATAAATAAAAGCAGAGACAAAAAGAGAGGAAAAAAGAGACAGAGGCGACGACATAAGGAGACACAATAAAGGATACAGGAAAGGAGACAATCATATTTAATCCTCCATCCAATCTCCTGCATTTGCTCCAATAATTCTATAAGGGGCCCCATCTTGTGCCTCCTCCTCTCCGTCTTCTATACTGAATGGATCCCTGTACAAGGAGGCAGTAAAGGAGACAGCAAAAGAGACATCTAAGAACTACAACTTATAAACATTTGCAATAAATATACAATACAGCCCAGCAATCTACTCCCCTCACAGCCCATAAACAGCAGCAACAGCAGCAGCAGCAACAGCAGCAGCAGCAACAGCAGCAGAAGCAGCAGCAGGAAGTAAATGTCGTTGCGCACCTGTCTGAACTAGTATCACTGCTGCTGGCGTCTGCTGGTCTATCATCTCTGTTGGTGATATTGCTTATAGTATTAATTAAACTATTACTATCAGTTGTTGTTGTTGCTGCTGCTGCTGCTGTTGCTGCTGCAGTATCTTGTGGTGTATCAATCCAATCAAGAGGATCATCTGTATTTCCTTGATAGCTATCAGGGTTAGTTTTTAATTCATTAAGCTTTTGCAGGAGCAATTCATTGCTACTGCGTACTTGTTCAAGACGTTGCTGCAATCTCTCTGCCTCCTCCTCTGTAGGTAGTATCCTTGATACGGAACCAGGTGGCTCCTTAAGTATAGACGTAATTACGTCTCGTATACATTTTAATTTATAATTTCGTATTTTCAACTTTTCCACTTTTTCTCTCAAAATTATTTTTTTTTTTTCACGAAATGCATCAAATTGTCCGGCAATTGAATTAGGGGATTTAAGTTGTAATTTTAATAAAGATAAATATAATTCAGATAAAGCTATACCATAACTACTTACATCCTCATTAAATAAATACATTGTTTCTTCTTGTTCTTCCTCCGTCATACGGGATACAAACTTCTCTAACTCCTTTAAACGCATATCTATAGACATAATCATACACACAAACCCTAAACCCTAAACCCTAAACCCTAAATAACCTAAATCATAAACATAATAGATTGTCTGTCTGTTGTATGTATACGCGTAGGAAAATACTCCTCCTATTAGATGAACAATGCAGGGATACTTTGTAGGGGATTGGCTAAGAGAGAGAGACACCACATTAATATGCAGGGGACGGACGAGGAATTGTGCGCATACAAACCCTAAACCCTAAACCCTAAACAGCAAGAGTGTTATGACAGTTTACCTAGATCTTGTTTATCGTCTTCTATATCCGAGCTGCTGTCTTCCTCTACATTAGATTCTCCTCCCTCTAGGTCCCTAATTCTTTCTTTTTTAGGGTTGTCTCCTTCTTCTTCTTCTTCGCTAGAGGAAGAGTAATTATTCTTATTAAGTTCATCTTGATCAAGTTTCTTTTGTATTTCTGCATAATAACTATGCATGCGTACAGCCATACTACTCTTAGTTCGTACAAGTTGTCTCCTTTTTTCATGTGTTGCTTCTTGTTGTTGAGACCAATCAAGTAATTTAGATATATCTCCTCCTGCTAATGCCTGCAGGGATGCTTTTTTATTCTGATTTTCTTCCTCAAGACGAGAAAAGGCTAAGCCTAGACGTAAGGCGAATTCAATAAAGGAGCCAGGAATAACATCAAGACGTAAATGTACAACAGCAAGACCTAATGCCTCCGCCATAACTTTAAGGAAATAAATTCTTTCATCAATATTAATACTTTTTTCTGTTGTATTAAATAAACGAGCAAATCTTCCTTTTCTTTTTGCTGCTACTAATTGGATAGATTGCTCATCATCATTAAATATTACTACTGGCTCCTGTGCTCTCCTCTTCTCAGATAAACGACCAAAAAAACGAAAGAATTGACCAATAAAAGGGACCCAATAAAAGCTTCTTGTTGCACGAACATTATCAAAGTAAGCAAACACTAAATTAACACCAACCTCTAATACAAATACAACTACAGGTACACAAATAAACCCTAATAATGCTGCGTTTATACTACCAGAGAAACGGGAACCCAATAGGAGCTGCAATACAACAACAGACACACACACACACACACACACACACACACATACATACACATACATATATGTAAATATATGTTTATATATTATAATTATAATATATATAGACACATATATATGCATATATATAGACACTGAGACACACAGATAGAGAGGCATAAAGACACAAAGACCAACAGATAGAGACGTATTAAGAGACACTGAGTGACCAACAAACAGAGACAAATAGACAGGGATAGGGATAGGGGTAGGGATAGGGATAGACAGGGATGGAGGGAACAGCAGCAGAAGAAGTAAAGGTTTACCCCCATAGTGCATGAAGCAATTGTCCAGATAGCCATACTGTGATTCTCTAGTCTGTCTAGAGTAGAATAACTCCTAAGAGACAAAAAAGGAGACAGAAAAAGAGACAGACAGAGGAGGGACACTTGTTAATAAAAATAAAAGTACAGCTTCTTGTTAATGAAAATAAAAGTACAGGTTCTACGCCAGACACAAGAAACCCTAAAAATAGGAGCAAAAAAGGAGATCTAATTGGTAGAGGAGGAAGAGACAGAGGGACAGACAGAGAGAGACAAAGAGACAGCTAGAGGATGAGACAGGCAGAGACAGCAAGATAGTGTGTAGGGAAGGAGACATGGAATAGAGAGACGTACCTCTTATCGAAGGGTTGGCAACGTAGATGGAGAATATTGAATGCAATAGCAATAGCAGTAGCTATAGTAATACTAGCAGAGGAGAGAGTACTAGTACCAAATAGAAGGATAGAGGAGACAACAAGTACACATAATTTTCTTGCAAATACAACTGTCTCCCAATACCAATACTCTCTTACGAATCCATTATGTAAGAATCCATACTTAAGACGTGTCTCCTTACTATTAAGATTCTTACGATTAACATATAAGACAAGAAATGCCCCTAATGGTATACCAATACTCCATAGAAGGAGACCAGTTAATCCTAATATAAAGAATTTAAAATATTCACTAGAAGGAGACAGGAGACACTCAACACTCATAGCAGAAGTTAAGAAATAACGACTACCATGCTCATCACCAAAGCTAATTGCCTTACATTCAAGGAGACTAAGCATATAACGTGTAGTAGATGTATATATAAAAAAGGAGACAGTTACATATATAGGAATCATATCCTCAAAGAATTTATATGCCCGTCTCCAAGGAGACTCCTCAGGTAATGGTATATATCTAAACATCATAAAGAGACGGTCTTCCTCTAATTTATCTCTTAATTGCTCAGTAAGACCAATAAGATTAAATCTTATTGTTTGCTGTAGTACACCAAGCTTCCTTTGTGTTGAATGTCTATAATAATGCTTAACTCTAGTAACAAATATATACATAATAATAGTAGCAGCAAGAGGTAAGAAAAGGGGTAATGATGCATAAAATAAACGAGTAAAAAAAAATGCCTCCCTATAAGATAAATTAAATGTATCTCTTAATACACAATCTACAGATGTCCAGTGTGTCTTCTGTGACGAAGAAATCTGCTGAGCTACGTCACTCTGTAGTCTATATAGCCAGCTAGGTAGCTCAATTTGTTCAAGATCTACAACAGAGAGTACCCACATACAAGTAACAAAATTAGAGGCAATCTTAATAACAATTGAGTGTATAGATCTCCTATTATATCCAGCAGCAACATTCATATATGCCATGGCTATATTAAATAATAATAAACCTATATAATATAATATACATAATGTTATATTTATACCTGTAGATGGACATTTTGTACATATTTCTTCATGTATAAATGTATTTGTATAACCAGGACGGCACTCATTACATAAGAAATCTGCCATAGTATCTGAGCATAATCCATGCTCAAGACATGCACTAGATACAGGACACTTAACAAAGTTCCAGTCTCCTGGTGTATCTAATTCTTCCTGTATCTTAACAAGAAAGTATCCAGCCTTAGGGTATGGCTTAATATGATCATTATTACTTATTACTGCATTAGTTGGATCTTTTATTAATCTTATTCTTGCTGTATCTATTAAACCTCCAATACATATTGCACCATCAGGACATTCATGGCAACTACCTGCTGCATAGTATGTACCTAATTCACAAAAACATTGGGACTGATTCTGCATGCCAATTAAACTTGTTGAATGACTACCACATAATCCATTACAATTCGCATCTTGTACACTTGTCTTATAAGAACCTGCAGGACAGGCCTCGCACTTCTTCTCTCCTAATTCATCATAACCACGAAATGCATACCCTTTATCACATAAACCTGTACATAATATACACATACATATACATATCTACACATATATATATATATATATATATATATATATATAT